TTTAAAAATCAGGGGAAATCCCTAAATGTCTGTGATAGGGGAATGTTCCAAATTATGGTACATCCACCATGCATATATAATAATTTACAAGAATAAGGAATATATTTATAAACTAACACTAAAAGTGCTTCAAGTCATAATATTAAACAAAAAGTATGTTACAGGATGTTATATAGAATGTATACATGTGCATACATACTTATATAAGCATATAAGTGCATAGAAAAAGATCTTCAAGAAAGTTCAGCAAACAGTTAACAATAGTGCTTATTTCTAGGGAAAGAAGTATGTTTCCAGGAAGATGGAAAGTGGACTTTATATTACTATATACTCTAGATAATACTGTGTTAACTTTTTAACTTCATGTGTATTCATCTATCATTTGTAGCTATCTATCTACCTATATCTCACTTAAAGTGCCTAGCACTGTGTTTTGACATTGATGGTACTCAATAAATATTTGTAACAAATGTAACATAAACAGATGAGTTTCTATTGAATGAGAATAGACGTACTTTATTACTGTGGCTAAAGTACAATTTCCAAAAGGGTAAAATCACAAATCTCATACAAATATAAAATGGACACATATCAAAGACTGTATTTAATGCATTCATTAATGAGGGAGTCAGAGTTATTAAAGTTGGTTCAAATGGGATTTTGACTTAAAATGGTTTATATCAGACAAAATTCATCTACATTGCCATGAACAAGAACTATGGGCATCATTATCAGTTTTCCACAAATTACGTTTTTTTATTCCTACAGAGTTGTAAAATAGCCTGTTGGATCAAAGACAATCAAAGATGCATCCCCCAATTGGGTGCATGGTGGCAGCTACTTGGGAGGCTGAGGCAGGTGGCTCTCTGGAGCCCAGGAGTTTGAGGCTGCAGTGCCCTATAACCGCATCTGTGAATAGTCCCTGCACTCCAGCCTGGGTTACAGTGAAACCCCATCTCTGGAAAAGAAAAAGAAAAAAAAAAGCTCCATTCCCCCTATGGATTCAGATAATGCCCTGCAGGTCCACTAGGCATGCCTGAAGCCCACTGTAAGGATAGCCAGAAATCTCTTTTGCTCACTTCCAAAACTTTGTCAATTTTTCCTGACACTGCTATGTTAATATTCATTTATGTTCTTGGTGTTTTAAAATATTTATGAATCTTTTTTTAAATATTTGTCAATGATTCCACAGTTCTGAATAATTTTTTATTCACTTCTGCTCTTGACAAGATTGCAAAGTGACAAAATGATCTAAATTCGCTTTGCAAGTAAGGTAATGCAAAGCTTTACCTTATGAAATCTCAAAGTGTCCTTGCGTAAGATGTTTTCATTGCACCATTAACCTCTTCCTCAATCAGACTGAAAATAACCTGGCAAAACCTAATTAAAGTACATCATTTTGACATTTGTTCCCTAAGCACAACAGTAGAGTAGAGCACTCACTCTGCGTGGCACGTTGCTGACAAAAACACAAAACCTTCTGAGGCACAGAGGGGTTTACCTACTTGACTAAGGCCAGTAGGTGGCAGAGCTGGGACTTGAACCGGGCTGGCTTCAGCATTTATGTGCTTGTTATAACAGATTATCCCTTCTTAGAAGTTAACTTGTTTCTGCTACTATATATTTGCACGACATGGTAGACCAGGCAGAATTTGAAGTACAAAAATTGAGGTTTCAATCCCAAATTTCTGCTGTAAACTTTTACATCTGAGCCTCAGATCCTTTTTCTTGTAAAACGGGAATAATAATGTTTGTCATGGTCACCGTATAGATTGTTGCATAGATCAAATGAAATAACGAATGCCAAAGTGCTTTGGAGAGTTTTACGTAAAGAATTGTTACTTAAGCTCTGAATCCGTGTGCCAGTTAGGATATAGCTTCAGCTGTGTATGATGAAAATGTTGCTTAAAGTCAATTAGGTCATAGTTAGAAGGCAGCGGAGCTGTGCCTTGATCCCAGGGTTGTTGGTAGATAAATCCAATACTTCTTACTACCACACTGTCTCACTACGATACTTGAGAGTACATCATTGTTTTCCTGTGCAGTTTCGTTAAAAATAAGAATGTAAACATAAATTGTCCTCCAATATTTTTTCACAAAACGTTTCTCTGGTAGGCCTAAATTGGAAATTGCTTCCTCCAACTTACAAACAGAGCTGACAGAGGGCAACAGAGAAAGACAGGCCAAGCGACGAAAGCCATACCATCAGTATCTAAGCAACCGGAAACCCTTGGCTGAGGAAGATTCCTTCTTCCCCTGGCAAGCTGGGGACATTCCAGCCAGGCGCCTTTGAGCCTCTGTTGTGGAAAGCAGCTCTGATTCCCACACAGGCGGGGCATGATTGTCAGTCAGGGAACATTCTGAGGGCACGCAGGGAAGAGTGGTAACACGTCTCTCCCCCTCATACATTACTGCTTCAAGCAACATCTCTCCATCTTATACTCTCATTACTTTGGGCAAAACAGAAGGTAAAGAGAAACAGTCTAACTAAAACAAAAAGCATATAAATAATAAATGTTAGCACTCTCTCTCTTTCATCTCCCTAGCAAATCCCTCTCTGTGAGTGAGAAATAATTCCAAAACCACTAAAGTAGAAAATCCTAGAATCAACCAAGAAGTGTTGGCTGGGTGTCCCCTCTGTGATTAGGCCCATACATGATGCCCTTCAGCAGGTTACGTTCTGGTAAAATGAACAGGGCAGGCCTTAGAAACCATCGCACACCAGATTTTGTATCACCAAACAAAAATGCAGTAACTTTAGAGAACATAAGTTCCCTGAATGAAGAAAAATGAAAGGTAACAATAAGAAAAAAGAAAAAGAAGAAAAAAAGACATTGAAAAAGGCTGAGAACATAGAGTTCAGTAAACCAGTTGTGGTTGAGTATATTGTAATCTATCTTAAACACAGAAGTCATTTCTAGAGCCCCTTTGAATGCATATTAAAATCAATCTCTTTCTCATATAAAGTGAAAAATGAAGAAAAATGGGTACATATATAAGTCTAATACAGACTTTTTAAAATTAAACTGTAAACACTACATTCATGTGCTGCATAGTGACGTTTTGGTCAACAACGGACCACATGTACAACGGTGGCCCATAGATTATAATACCATATTTCTACTGTATTTTTTCTATGTTTAGATTTGTTTAGATACACAAATACCACTGTGTAACAACTGCCTACAGTATTCAGTAATCCGCTGTACAGGTTGGTAGCCTAGCAGCAAGCGATAGGCCATACCCTACAGCCCAGGTGTGTGGTAGGCTGCGCTATCCAGGTTTGTGTGAGTGCACTCTATGATGCTTGCCAAAGGACGACATTGTCTAACAACACATTTCTCAGTATATATCCCCATCATTAAGTGACACATGACTGTATGTATCCCTTGTTACGCTGTTCCTCTGACATCCATTCATTTCTCCATTCACTTCTTCCACAAACACTGTTGACCATATGAGTGTGGGGGCTGTCATTTTTGTTATTCTCCCTATAAAGAACAAATTATGATTTCTCTACATCTTTTTGAAAATGAGGCAACCCCAACTGAACCCACGGTTGTAAAGATTTGTTTGGTGAGGTAAAACGACGTCCTTGTATCCTGCTTTTCCATGCATCCCACTTTGACTTTTGCTTTTGCTTGTTACTAAATTTTCCGAAAACACGTTGCTTATTTTCACTGTATCAGTAATGACCCTGAGTAACTTATGCTGTTGATTTATTTCTATAAGAATGCTCTCCTGAACGTCGGCCTGTTTGAGTGTTTGTGTGAAGGCTTGCTGCTTTTTCTTTTTTCATTTGTCACCTTGTCAGAAATGATCAGGTGGCAGATACATGTCAAGAAAACTAATCACCTGCTAACAGGATTTGGACTGGTATTAAGGCGGATCCGGTGCCCTTCCTGTTCCAGCTTTAGCACCCAAGGTCCACGAGTGCTCAGACACCAGCTGGTCGGCCACTGCACCCCACGACGTCTCAGGCTCTCTTTGTCCCCTAGGTAGTACATTTTGTGACACTGAATACCGAGTTTCTGGGAGGCAGCGCTGGGGTGTGCGGCTGAAACTGTTGGCCAACCCGCCCCGACGCCCAGCAAGGCAAAAGCATCTCCTGCTTTCCAGGTGATGACACAGGGCTGGAATGCCGCGGAGCCTAGGAGTCGGTCCTGCCCGACGAGTTTCTGCTTCTGGCCGACTCTGAACCTGCGACACCACGCGGTGCGTCGACCTGCGGCGGCCGGGCCGTGGAGTCGTTTGCAGGAGTGTACCGGGGGCTGAGAGTATAGACCAGCTCCGCGTCGCGTCTACACGTTCCCACTTCTCACCTCGAAGCACCGCGCGAGTCCTTCTCCCGCCCTCGCTCCGCCCCGCCCCCACCTTTCGCCACAGCCCCCACCTGTGTGCGCGCAGGGGCGGGGCGGAGTCGCGGGGCTGGTGACGTCACCTCCCCGCGAGGGGGCGGGGCCGCGGAGCCGCAGAGCAGCGCAGAGGGGCGGGGCCTGCGGCGCGTGATCCGTCTGCGGGAGGCAGGAACCCGAGCGAGGTGGCGGCGCCTGGACCTGCCGACGCCCGAGTCCGCTCCGGGAGGCGGGGCGGGGAGTGGCCGGCCCGGGCCGCCGGCGCCCCCGCAGCGCTAAAGCGGGTCACGCGTCCTCCTCCCTCCCCGCCCCTGCGCCTCCTCCCGCCTGGGCCTCGGCGTGGAGACGCGCACCTGGCAACCGGCGGCCGCGCTCCGCCGCGCGCCCCGCGCCTGCCGGGACCCCGAGCTGCCCCTCGGCCGGAGCCGCGCTCGCTGGGGGCGGCCTCGAGCGCCCGCTCGTTGATGCCGTTTTGGGGGTGACCGGGCGGGCGGCGGCTCCATGCTGCGGGAGCGCTAGTGGCCGCGGCGCTGCCGGACGCCGAGTGCGCGGCTGCGGGGTGGCCGCGGGGCCCGCCGGCGAGACCCAGCCCGCGGCTGCGGCTTCGGGGCGCTGGAGGCCGCCACGGCGGCGCGGGAGCGAGAGATGCTGGAGCTGAGGCACCGAGGAGGCGGCCCCGGGGGAGCGGGGGCGCCGCCACCCCGCGAAGGAGAGGCGGCCGGCGGCGACCACGAAACCGAGAGCACCAGCGACAAAGTGAGTAGAGCCGCGGGAGGCGCGCGCTGGCGCCCGGGTTGCTTGCTGGCTTGGGCCGGGGCACCTGAGAGCGAGGGTGCGGCCCACAGAACGTCAGGTGAGGAGGGTGCGGGCTGTCACCTTGGGAAGGGTGTTTCCTCCTTCCCGAGCGGGGTCGAGAACTCCGACCCTAGCGACGGTGCGTTTCCCAGAGTGACGGCGACCGCCGCCCGGGGCAGCTGGGTGTTCACCTTGGCTGCAGTTTAGCCTCTTCCCACTTCAGCCCCTTTTTCAGGATCTGGGACCGACTGTGGAATCGGCACGAAACCTGCCACCCTAGGAGCTGCCACCTCTCGCCTCGGCTCAGTAGAAGGGACAAAGTTAGCGAGGACTAAACTTAAGACAGGCTATTTCGAGTCTAACCTGTTATTGGATCCTGGAGGCTCGGCTTCTCTCGCCGCCCCATCAGGACTTTCATTTCCTCTGTCCTTTTTCAGTACGATAGATTTTGGAGGTTTGAGGGTGTCGTGCACGTGACACACTTGTAATCTTCCAGCTGCTTTTGAGTACGAGGCAGACAGTGCAATTCTTCTGTCTACCAGTAGATTTCATTTAACGCGATACGTTAATTCATGAGGATATTTCACGCTCTTTTGTATAGATTAGCCTTGTTTCACATTTGAGAATAATCTAGAAAAAGAGTTCAGGCATATTCGGTAATACAGTGGTGCAAGGAAGAACTTCAGAAGAAACTTAGTTTTATGACCTTATGGACTGGGTGGTTTAGGAAATTGGGCCAGAGAATGGATTGTTTTCGAAAACTTTTTGTTTATAAAATTCCATTTTATTTGAGAAGCCCAGAACACTTCCCCTGTTTCTAGAAGCTTTCTTTTTTGGAAGCAGGTGTTGCAGTTTGACTTGCACACGTGAAGCGAATTGCCCAAGGTCGAGTGAGTGCCTTTGGAAACTAGAACCTGAGTTTCCTGATTCCCTTTCTTCTGGTTTATATCATTGCTTAGACTCACTGGCAGTTTTGATTTGCGGAGGGTTCCACCGGAAAGTTAAAGCTGATTAACTGTAACCCAAGTTACAAAGCCCTAATAGGAACATACCACCTGGTAGCATGAAATAATAAACCTAACAGTGATTTCAGGACTGGAACTTTATAATCTATGGGATAATGCTTTTTTTTTTTTCCTTTTAGCAGGTGGAATGCAATGAGTCTGTGATAGAACACATGTGTCAAGGAATTACACAAATTATAACAACTTCCAGCTGCTGAAGGTTGAAGTTACAAAGCTAGAAACAGTGGGCTGAGAATAGTCTTTGTGAAAACTGCCTTGGAAACTAGACCAAAAATAGAATTAATTAGATAGGGATTTGTTTTGTTTTGAACACTGGTATAGTTTGGAATCAAGGAAATACCAGCTTCTCTATGTTAACTTCCTTAACTTGACAAAGCTAACAAGCTTTTATTAAGAGGAAACCTGTTTAGGAAGCCATGTATAAAATAACCTTTGTTTTTTTTTTTGTTGTTGTTGTTGTTGTTTTTGAGACAGAATCTCACTCTTTTGCCCGGGCTAGAGTGAGTGCCGTGGCGTCAGCCTAGCTCACAGCAACCTCAAACTCCTGGGCTCAAGCTGTCCTCCTGCCTCAGCCTCCCGAGTAGCTGGGACTACAGGCATGCGCCACCATGCCCGGCTAATTTTTTCTTAGTTGTCCAATTAATTTCTTTCTATTTTTAGTAGAGACAGGGTCTCGCTCTTGGTCAGGCTGGTTTCGAACTCCTGAGCTCAAACAATCCGCCCGCCTGGGCCTCCCAGAGAGCTAGGATTACAGGTGTGAGCCATCGCCCCCGGCCTGTTTTTTTTTTTTTTGACATCATAATGTATTTAAAATGGAAACTACTACTGTGGTGTGATTTGACTCAGAACTGTTGCCTCTAGCTCTCTGGGACTGGCTTACCTCACTGCAGGTTTATTTATTAACGCTGTACTGTATTGGTTTTCATTAATACATGTCCAGCTGTGTTTTGTTTTCTGGAAGTAGATGTTGGTATATGTAACCTGTTTTGTTGAGATTTCTTAGACAGGGATGAACATATTCAACCATTATCTAAAGTATTGCTGTGCTTTTAGAGTTTATCACAAGGACCTCTTGACTTGGCAAGCTTGGAGATGTTGAACTCTATCCTCTGTCCTTTCTTATCAGGGTGTGTATTTGAATGCACCTGTATTTCCAGGTCAAGGGCTATTTTAAAATCAGTTTGCACTTTGGAGGGTGCTTAATATTTGGTCTGTTCAAACTCTTTGAAGTGCCTTCTCTGTTCAAGTTGCCGTCAAGGCAGAACTCTTGGGGAGTTAATGAAAGAGTGGAGGAGGTGTATTACATTCTGCAGTTATAATACACTCCCATGGATTGCTGTTCTGTAGTCTTTTTATAATGCTTTTATTAACATGACATTCCCAGTGCTCTGGACTGGAGGCTTATGCTGAGAGAAGGCTCTGTGCTCCAGAGAATCAGCAAGTGAAAAAAGTGCGTCTTACCTGCAGGGCAGTGTTCCCAGTTGTTAAATGCTGGAGTGGTACTTGAAAGATGACAAGGACCACCCCCTCAAGGGACCCTCCAGGAGACATGTATGAGTTAGATTTATTAGTAGTGTGTACAGGCTCATTTTTAGCACAGAGGGCGTAATTGGACTCTACCTAGAAATTACAGGAAAAGTTATAAATTGTAGACCAGGGTTGAAGTGGGAGTTAAAATATTCCTGGGGACTCACCAGGTGGACACGGGTTGGGGAAGGGCATTCTAGGCCAAGGACCCGGGGGGCTTTTTCTTGAGTCAGCACTCCAGGTTCTGGGCTGGAGATGCAGCGGGGAGATAAATGAGGATCCTGAGAGCTGGAGGAGGAGGGATTGCTAGAGGATATTGTCAGTAGTACTTAGGAATAAGGGCTGGGACTTAGAACACCGAGTTTAGCAGAAGATCTTAGTAGAAGCCAGGTGTTAAGTGGAGGAAATTGAGAGATGAAATGCTGGTAGTTATTGTCAAAGTGGCAGTGAAAGGTAGGAAGTACAGGATGGCAGCTAGAGAGGACGGGGGAGGAAGTGGAGATTTTTCTTTTCAAGGGAGGGGATTTACGTATTTGTATGAGAGTCAAATGAGTGAAGGTGCCGACAAGGATGGGCAGGCCCTAGAAAAAAATCAAACGCAGGGTAGGGAATATCAGTTATTGGGGTGTGCAAGGAAGGAAAAGAGGCATGTATGCCCCTTCCTTAAGAAGAGAAGGAATGGAGGGTGGCTATGGAAACATTTTGAAAAGCAGAAGAGGGAAGAGCAAAGTGTTCGACTAGTGCCTTTGATTTTCTCAGTAAAGTGGTACCAATGAGCTTCGAGGAATCTTAGAAACAATTTAACCCAGTTCTTATATATGTAGTTAAGAATAATAAACTTGCTCTAAATTATAATTGTTTTGTGCAAAATGAGCCTAGAGCAAGTGGCAGAACCGTCTCTGCGCAGTCACAGGCTGGGACTGTTCTGGTACATCATACCAAGTATGACTGGCACCTGTTTGGAGTGTCATTTTTAGGGAATATAATATGAAATGAACAAGAGGCAGCCTTATAGAACTATATAGAATTATCAAACTCAGTGGAGACTCAGTTGAACATAAATTTGTTGAGTCCCAAGTTAGCATAGTTCTTAACTCAGTCATGGCCATAATAATCGATACTTGTAGAGTAACTTAGAATTCACGCGGAATACTTTTGCATCCATCTTTATTTGCTTTTCCCAATGACTGTCTGTATTAGGTCTATCCTCATTTAATAGCTGAGAAGAAAGGCGATGGGAGTGACTTAGGCCTGGTGAATGCCAGAGGTCAAGGGTGTATAAGGAGTCAGAGTGAGCTAGGCCAGGACTGACGTGGCTGACAACGGTGTAGGGTGGGCAGGGAAGTGGGGTAGCGAAGCTCTGATGGATTGAGGGGGATGAGCATTGACAGGGAAAGCTAGGACCCGACTCATGCAGAGGCCAAGCGAAAACTTCCCCTTCACCCACTGAAAGTTCACCGAAAAATCAGCTGACAATAGGAAGCGTAAGAGGGAAAATGGCATACAAATGTATTAATGTGCATGGGCGGGGGACCCCTACCTCGCAAGGGGGTAGGGAAGCTTATATGCCCTTTTGAGGTTACAGAAAGAGTGGGGGTTCTGAGCATGGCCCAAGCCAGGTTATGGTACATCTGGTTATAGTGGCACGACGAGTTATGGGAGGGAGAGGAGAGGAGGTTTGGCTCACACAGGTGGTCTTGATATGGAGACGAAACCTCACAGGTGGGAGCCCTCAGAGGGAATAGCTGTGTGAGGAAAGTAGGTCATTTAGGAAATTATGAACATATTTCCTGAGGCTTGGTTTCATTGTTTGCATTCAGTAAATGCTTGTTGGGTGTCAGTTATAAGCAAAATGCTATTTGACCAGTCACCTTTTTTGTAGCTCTTTATACTCTTTGAGAAAAGAGGTAGTACCAGGATTTGTTTGTTATTCAACTAATTGTAGAATATACTAATATCTTGAATCGTGGCCTTTCACTGCATGGAATAATGGTGATAAAGTAATTTATTATTGTAAAATAATTTGCAACTTGCAAAATACTAGCTTATACCTAATAGCAATTTGAATCTCTTAATAATTGTGTGGGCAAGGGAGATAGTCTTAGTTTACACCTGAGAAAATTAAAATTCGACGACCTTAAATGCCCTGCTCAGGATCACACAATATTTACAGCTGGGGTATACCCTAAACTTTCTGACTGAAAAATTTAAAGGATAATTTAGGTCTGTGGCCCTAAATTTATAAAATCAATTAAAACATTTACTTAAGAAATGTTTTACTCTGTTATTTGTGTGATTTTGGACTTTTTCCTTTCTGAATCTATGAAATGTTGGCATTGGACTAGAAACTTTTAGCTGAAAACCTGTAATTCCATAATTTCAGGCACCTGGATTTAAAACAAAAAATGTTTCGAGTCTTTCCTTGCCTCCTTTATGATTGATTAGGAGAAGAAATTATTAGCTTTTATTTCATTTTATAGCTGTTCACCTTTTGATTTGGTTGGGAAATGTTCCAGAACTTATTTAATGAAAATGACATCACATTTTTGAAGTAACTCCAGGAATGGAGAGGAACTAATTTTGTTACAACCAATTGGTTTTTGATCATTCCTGAGGTATGTCAGGGTCACCATCTTTCTAAACGTTTGCATATTTTCTTATCCGCAAAGAGAAGTCAGAGTTATTTTTCCTGTCATGTCATTGAATGTTTGCTTAACACTTTGTCAGAACTGCTAAGCTTTTCAACTGTCTCTTAAAATATGAAATTGAAAGGCACAGGATGGGGAAAACAAGAGTCCAGTTCAGTGCAAAGAGCTCACACCTATGGAAGTTTTTGCAAAGATGTTTTTTTTGCAGGAAAGCAGTGTTGCTTTTCTGCTTCCTGACCGTGGCCGCAATTCCCTTCATTTGCTGGGACCCGAGGCCAGATGTTTAATAGCTTTATGTAAGGCTGATCCAGGCAATCTGACTTCGTCATCTTGCTGGCCCAGGTGGAACCAAACACCTTGGCAATTAAGGTTGGGCTCACTGCCACCTTCCTGTCCCAAGCAGGTTGTTTCCAAAACTGTTGTGGGGCTGTGGGGCAGTAAATATTAAGCCTATCTGGGACTTAACGTTTTGTCTCAATGTATAAAAATCCAGATCTGGGAAACCAAATTAGACTCATGTCTCTTTCAAGGTTATGGTTTTCTTTCCACCCACTTACTGTGCTTGTACTTGAACTGTCTCGGGGTTGAGGCTTTGAACAACTCTGTGGGACACTATGTAGACTTCAACGTAGACAGTGTCCCCTGGAATTCTGCCTATGGCAGTCCTATTTATTATAATTTATACTGCTCTTAATAAATATGGAATTGCTACAAAAAGATGATACGAGGAACACCTGGGCACCTACTAGCTACTGACCTGGCTGGCTTATGCTCGAAGAGGTAATCACAACTTGTATTTTATATTTTTCATTTCCTCCTTTCTCTTGGTAAGTTTACAGCATATGTTTGTGTCCTTGAACAGTTTGTTTAGAGGAGTGAAAAATGGCTTCCGTACACCCTTCTAGGTTTTTTTGGCTGGGCTACAAATTAAATTGACATAAGATAATTAACAAGAGAAAAACCACATTTAATTATGTATCTATGCATGGGAGTCCCACAAAACATGATACTCAAAGAAGGGCCAGATGATTGGAGTTTGTATAGCATTCTGAGCTGCCGAAAGGAGGGGGGCATAGGGCTTCTGTGGGGTGGTGGCTGCAGGGAGTTATGGGAGAGTAAGGGGAGGAGGTGCATGGTGAATAAAGGTTGTCTTGTTACGCAGGTAAAATCTCTCAGGTAATAAACGTTGTCTGGAGCAGACTTCTTCCTTGTACAGATAATTTACTAATGTACATTTCCTTTGTAGATATCAATTTCTTTTACAAAAGAACAGCTTTTCAGCGATATTCCTGTGTCTGCAGTTTCTCAGAATTATAAGCTCAAAATATGCCAAAGCAGTATATTTTGGAGTGGCCTATTTGGATTTCCTACAGTCATATTTTGAGGGGGTGTGTCCTGAGCCCCAGAATTAGTTTTTAAATTTTTCCTAGCTTTTTATCATAACTTTTAAATAATATAGTAAGGTTAAAAGGTTAGCACAATGATCATCAGTATATCCAGCACTTAAATTTAACAGTTGTTGAGATTTTGGTAAATTTGCCTTATCCTACTGTGTATGTACGTTTGTCCTTCCGTAGTAGGAAATACAGAAGGAGACTGCAGGTTTGAGGTCGAAGGGAGGCAAGTCAGTTTGCTTGAATTTCAGGTGATGCCTGTGGAAAACCCACCTGGAGATGGCGTACTGGGAGCCAGGGATGCAGGTGTAGGGGGAGTCATTGGGGGGGGATGGGAAGGGAAGCTACGGGGGTGTGAGATTACCTGGCGGTGGGGGGAGAACCCAGGATGGAGATTTGAGGATCATCCTGTTTAAATTAAAAGCTTGAGAAGAAGTTCCTAATTTTTAGGTTCTCTCAAACATTTTAAATACCTTCATTCAGCATACACAATGCCACATGGCTCTTACTTGATCATTAGAAGTGTGACACGTGCTTCCTCTTTCCCCAGTCTCTCCAGTCTCTCTCCTTTGCCCTTTCAAGCCTGGCGTCTTTGTTGCAGAGTCTGTGCAGGAAATGCAGAAAAACAAGGGTCCCTTCTGATTCTGGTAGTCGCATAACATGGCTCTGAAGTGATACTATTTAGGAATTATCTTTTATTCTTTAATTATTTGAATGAAATTGAAGAAGCCTAGTAAAATTTTAAGTTTTTATTTTATATCCTTTAGAAGTTTTAGAGAAACCTCTTTATATCCTTTAGAGGTTTTAGAGAATTTCTTGCTGTGCTCAGAAACCTCTAAAGGATATAAAACAGAGATCAGAAACTTAACTAATGTAAATTAAAGCAGAACAGCTTTGTCGAGGGTGGGGTCGGAGGGAGGGTTATGACAGATCGCCATTATTGCCAAGTGGACTTTGAAGTGGCTTTCAGAAAACTTTTGTAAGCGAGGAAACTGCTGCCCGAGTTTCCTCGAAGTTAAGTGATTTGCGCTTTGTCACACTGCTAGCTAGGGCGGAGGTGGGATTAGTACTGCTGACTCCTGATTCCTCGACTCCGGCTCTCTCCGTAACACGGTGATGTCGCCTTGCAGAACCACTTCATTCGTCACCATCTCCACTGCCACCCATACCACCCCGCTCAACACTCTGGGTTATCGAAGGTGAAAAGAAAGTGGCAGGGAAAAAAAAGTGATGCATTCCATTGTTCCAGATCCGTGGTCCCCAAACCACGGGCCATGGACTGGTACCGGTCTGTAGCCTGTTAGTAATAGGGCCACACGGCAGGAGCTAAGTGGCGGGTGAGTGAGTGAAGCTTCGTCTGTATTTCCAGCCGCTCCCCGTTGCTCACATCACCGCATAAGCTCCGCCTCCTGAGTGATCAGCGGCGGCATCAGATTCTCATAGGAGCACGAACCCTGCTGTAAACTGCGCATGCAGGGATCTAGGTTGCGGCTCCACATGAGCATCTAATGCCTGATGGGAGGTGGAGCTGGGGCGGTGATGCTAGTGCTGGGGAGCGGCTGCAAATACAGATCGTCCTTAGCAGAGAGGTCTGACTGTACAATAGATTCAGTGCGCTTGAATCATCCCAATACCATCCCTCCCCCTAGCCTGTGGAAAAGTCATTTTCCATGAAACGGTTCCTGGTGCCAAAAAGGTTGGGGACCGTTGTTCCAGATGTCAAAGCCCTCTGGCATGTCAGACTGACAGCAAGTACCCTGATACTCTCTGAAGGGATGTTCTGTCTGGTGGTTTATTAGTCAACATCTATTTACACTGCTTCAGGGACAACTGACTCTCAGTGTCACAGTGGGAATTCAGCATGTCTCTTTCATTTGTCGTTTTTGGTGCAGTGACATTTAATTTCATAATTGTGTAATAAAAAAGTTATTAAACTAAAATCTATGATTTCTTTATGAAACTGAAAATGCTCCCCAAAGGATAAATTTTATTTGGTAAGCCACTTAATGAGGAATTAGAAGACTTAATTCAATCATGCTAATAGCTTACCACTTATGGAATTTACTAAGTCATTGGCCTTATATTAAATGCTTCATTTTATGAATGAAAAAACAGTTAAAAGGGGTGATGACATTTGCCAAAGTTTTGGAACTAATAAAGACTGAGTTTGGGTTGAGATTCTTCAGTATTCCAAATTCCTAGGGTTATTCCTAGCCCAGTGTTGTACTCAGTGCTTCGTCTGCTTGTATTTCTTCTATGCTGGTTCAGCTCCCTTGCTCCGGTTTCTCCTCTGTAAAACGCTCTCCTAAGGTGTCTGTGTAGCACTCTTTAGTAAAGGTTACCAGGGTGGAGTTGAGGGAATGGAGGCGAGGGGAGGACACGGGAGTAGAAACTGTTATATTACAGCAGAATGAACAATTTCAAGCTGAGCATTATTTGACATTTCTGTTCTTAAAATTGCCGTGACCACCCTTGTCTAAAAGCCTGGCGCTCCCTGCCACCCCCAGCGTACACACACAGCTCTGGGACATGCACTTTTAGAAGTCAGTTTGGGTTTTAAGTAACTTTTTAAAAAATCTCACCACCAAAGCAAATGCTTTTGATCATAGTTTACCTATTGATAAAATAGAAATATCTATTTGACCTGCTGCATTGGGATTTTCTCTCAAGGATCTACTAAAAATGATGGAAGTTCATGCTTAAAAGTATTAATATATATAAAATGCTATGTTCATGTAAGATATTACTCTTATTGATGTTTTGATAGTAAACAAATCAAAATAACGCTGTGAACAGCTGATCAGAATCTACATGGAAATAACACCATGTTGTCCCAGTTAAGTAGCAAAACAATACATAATTGATTTTTTGGGTAACTCTGATTTTGAAAATATGAGCTCCTTTTTTGTCTTTGGTTTAAAGTGATCCCTTATGTATATAACTTTTAGCAAAGATAAACTTTCCTAACAAAAGTATAACAGTGCTTGGATATTCAAGGTGAGTTAATAGTTGTTTCTTTTTTCAGATTATGTAACTGAAATTTAACACACTGAACAATAAGTAAATGCCTTGGCGAACATGTGCTTTTTTAAACAATATTTTGCAAAGTGATTTATCTCTTTTTTTCATTTCAGGAAACAGATATTGATGACAGATATGGAGATTTGGATTCCAGAACAGATTCTGATATTCCAGAAATTCCACCATCCTCAGATAGAACCCCCGAGATTCTCAAGAAAGCTCTATCTGGTTTATCTTCAAGGTATGATTGGATGAAGACGAATATACGTAGGTGCATGAGATAAGCTTTAAGGTTATCCTTGTCCATGTCATGAATTTGACTTTTTATAAGTTTTAGAATTGTGGGAGAGAAGGCTTTCAATTTTTGACCACCTAACATATGAGTCACAGTCCTAAGTGCTTGATATGTCTTCTTCTGAATCTTTAAAACCTTGTGCAGTTTGAGAAAACCAAGTCTGGGAGGTTAACTGGTGAAAGTTGCAGAGCTAGTGAGATACGGACCTGGGATTCTTGCCTTGGGCTGTCAGGTTCTGAAGCCAGTGATCTACTTACCTGTCAGGTTGCCTTTTCTGGTGTTGGAACACCTAATAAAGAAAATTCCATATTCTCTGTTCCCTGTCTTTCAAATGCCAGACAGAAATAGGCAATTTGTTTCTTTTAACCGAGTTTAAAATTATTGTCTAAAACTGCACAACCTGTTACCGTTTTCTATTTGTGCTGTATTTTTAAATGCTTAATTGACCACAAAATTTCAGCTAAGTTTATAGTACCCTCCACTGTATGCTTTAATGGTATGACTTATAAAACTTACAAACGCAAAATAGATGTAAGCTGTTGTCTAGATTAATGTGTGAGGTGTTACATACTGGTATACAACAGTTTTCACTGTGACACACAGTAAGAGCAATCCACGGGGTGGCTTTGGTGTGATGGCCTGGAGCCAGCATGTTCGTCATAGCAAGGTAAACGAAGTTGAGGACTTTGAATCTGGAACCAGACTGTCCTCCGTTTTTTAGTGCATTGCTCCCCCCCCCACACACACATCATGCTCTGTTTTGAATTCAGTGCTTCTCTCCCCAAAAGATGATTTTTGGTTACAATGTCTGTGGATATATATATTATATTTGAATATGTGTTAATTTTTTATGTGCTTAACTTTGTATTAGATATTCTTGGGAGATTTAGAAGAGAGTCATTGAAAATAAGGGAATTAAGTCTTTAATCTTGTTTGGAGAGGGGAATTTTTCTGAGAGAAAAAATATCTATATAATAAAAACCAGATAGAATATGCTTTTCAAGGCCAGGTGCAGTGGCTCATGCCTGTAATCCTAGCACTTTGGGAGGCTGAGGTGAGAGGATCACTTGAGGCCAGGAGTTTGAGACCACCCTGGGCAACATAGTGAGACTCCACCTCTACAAAAAGTTTTTTTTAAAAAAATTAGCCAGGCATGGTGACACATGCCTGTAGTTTCAGCTATTTGAGAGGCTGAGGCAGGAGGATCGCTTGAGCCCAAGAGTTCAAAGTTACAGTGAACTGTGACTGTGCCACTGCACTCCAGCCTGGTGACAGAGTGAGACCCTGTCTCTTAAAAAAAATAAAACAGCATTCTTCAAGGGCTCAGTTTTCGGTTACCATGGAATTTTGGGATGATATGAAGTGAGTAGCTTCCCTGTTTAAAACCTCAGGTTCTCGGCCACTACCATTCTCTGAAGCTCAAAGCCAGCCATGAGGGTACACCTGGTCATTGGCAGCACTCACCTGGGGAATGATTTCTGATGCTTGTTTTGTGTGCTCTTCTTCAGAGGAGCTTCTTGATAATTCTGAGACTGAGAGTCAGTTATACAGAGGGGCTAAATATCCTTATGGATTTTATATAGACAGGACAGGATCATTATCCTGTTGACTGTGGTCCTTTATTTTTCTCTGATGAGGCTTGTGATCTAGCCTAGTTTCCTAATCCATTCATTAACCCACAAACAGTTATATCTATAAAGCTAAATGGAACCTTTCAGCCATAGCACTTGTTTTTTTTTTTTTTTTTTTTTGGAGACAGGGTCTGGCTCTGTCACCCAGGCTGGAGTGCAGTGACACAGTCATAGCTCACTGCAACCTTGAAGTCCTGGGCTTAAGCAATCCTCTTGTCTCAGCTATAGGCATGTATCTAGGACTCCAGGCATGTGCCGTCACACCCGGCTTACTTAAAAAAAATTTTTTGGTAGAGATTGGGTCTCACTGTGTTGCTAAGGCTCGACTCCAACTCCTGGCTTCAAGCGATCCTCCGACCTCAGCCTCCCAAAGCACTGGTATTACAGACATGAGCCACTGTGCCTGACGGCCATAGCATTTTTGACTCTCCACCCATTTTTAGTTCAGCCTCTAAGCTTGTAGTCTCACAAGAAATTTATGAGTCTGCATAGTTTGTTAAACAGTAAAGGGAAATAAAGTTGGGTGAGTTCAATTTGACTACCTCATGAAAAACTGTGGAAGCTGAAGAAAAGTTTATGGACTTAATGCTTTGGCATTTTAGATCTTTCAGTGCAGAGATGACATGATAAAAAGGGTATCTGAAGAAGGGTAGTTAAAGTATCTAAACTATATAGGAGAGTGGTTGAAAGCAAGGAATGTAGTCAGTATTTCATAAACGGATGAAAACAGCTGATATTTCTGTCATAAGAGAATGAGGACCTGTGCTTAGAATACAGTACATGTATGTTACTAGACTTTAAACTGAATCAAAATCTCTTACAATTTAAATGCTATCATTTGAATTAATAAAAATCAGATAAGTCTTAAAAACAGCAACAATTTTAGATTAAGAAATCATCATCCATGTACAGGAGCATTCAGAAATCACCATCTGTGTGTTTGAATCATTCTGGATTTTTTCCTACAATGGCTGCCAGCATTGTTTATGACACATCACACAAGCAGGGACACTGTTTGCAGCTGCGCTGGGGATGAAGTGTGCGGCCCCTGGTGTGTGTGTGGAGTGGGGACATCCCAGGCCCTTGCAGACGAGAGTCGAGGGAGATCAGTTCTCAGCACGGCAGGAGCCAGCAGGGTGTACCTGTGGGGAAGCTGTGCTCTACGGAGCGGGGAGAGGTATAAGGATAAGAAAATACTTTTCTACCCAAGATTCTGCCCCTAACCAAGGAGAGCAGGTAGCACACTTTGAGCGCAGTGCAAGGAAGGGTCCTTCCGTGTGTCCTTATCCTCGGTGACCCACCTCTGGGATCACTGGTACCCTGCTCCTTTATTTCTCCGGAATCACTGTGATTTCCCGTTTTAGTTCTGTCCTGTCTTTCATCACTTTTTCTCACCGCCAGGCCATGCTGTCTGCACCGTCTTCCTGGTGGGATGCCTGGCTTTCACACTCACCTTGACCCCCTCACTCCCTAACCTCATGATTCGTCCCCACTCACGTTCAACAAAAATAACATTTAATTTCTCTCTCCGTGAGTGAATGTTGTTTGTTCTTATTATAAAAAGTGAAGTAGGAGAGCCTTAAAGTATACTTAGGAAAAATTCGTAAGTCCGGCAACTCAATACTGAAACCATCACAAAAACTTTAAAAAACACGTTAAACACTAACTTTGCAAACATTTTCTTTGTAGATGGAAAAACTGGTGGATTCGTGGAATTCTTACTCTAACTATGATTTCCTTGTTTTTCCTGATCATCTATATGGGATCCTTCATGCTGATGCTCCTGGTAAGTGTTTGACGTTTCCCTAAGTGTCTCTTGGTTTGTTTTTCATCATGTATCTATGATTGAAGTAATTTAACCATGTCACAAAAAAGAATGATGGTAATTCAAGACTGGGTAACAGCAAATTTAGTTTCTTTAAAAGCGTCTCCTAGTTCATGGAATGATCTGAACGAATCTTTTCTGTTTGCAAAATGACTGTTCAACGTGTTGGTTCAGCAGAGGCCAGGTTTGCAAGATACATACGTGTCTATGTGTCCGACTTTGTGCCAAGCGTTAGATGTGACAGATACACACAGCTGCAACATGTATGGCCACTGGCTAGATCCCTGATTTCGAGGAGCTCAGTGAAATGGCAGAAACATGCAAGTAGCCATAAGAATAACTCGTGCGGTCAATGAGTGGGAGGCATCCTGCGATGGAACACGTTAGAGAGCACGGTGGAGAAGCACCGAGTCCAGTCTGTGGGAGAGGTGAGGGGCTTCCCGAAGAGATGGGCCAAAGCTGAGTCCTGAAGACGGGAGAGGGACATGTCATGGGCCAGGCACGGAGTAGTGAGAGAACGTGTTCAGTGGAGGATCTGCAGGTGGTACATGCGGAGGGGTCGAGGGATGACGCTGGGGAGGCGAGTAGAAGCCATTCTGGGAGTTTTGGGTTTTGTTTGTGGGAAGCCCAACAAGTCATGAAGCTAAACAAGTATTTTAAGGTCTTAACTCATCTAACAAGTGCTTCCAGGGTGCCAGGTATATGCGAGGCATTACATTGGTCCTGCGGTATGAGATGGTGGTGCTGAGAAAAACGTCCCCGTCTCTGCCTTCATGGAGCTTAGTGTTTACACCTTAAAGAATTTATCACATATATACAGTCATTGCCACCTAATGACATTTTGGTCAGTATTGGACCACATATGACGGTGGTCCCATACGATTATAATGGAGCTGAAGAATTCCTACCACCTAGTGATTTGCGTTCCATTTGTGGGCCGTATTCAGGGCAGTCACGTGCCGCGCGAGTTTGTAGCCTGGAAGCAATAGTCTGTGCATACGCCACACAGACTGGGTGTGTAGCAGGCTGTGCATCTGGGTTTGTGTAAGTGCGCCCTGTGATCACACAACGATGACATTGCCTAACGATACCTATTTCAGAAATTCTCCCCGTGGTTAAGCAACACACGACCACATACATAATTACAAACTGGTGAGCGTTTGTAAGAAAGGGTAACGGGAGCCAAGAGGGAGCCAGGGGCTTTCCAGGGCCTCGTGCCAAGCATGTGAGCTGTGGTCTGAAGGTTAAGTAGGCGACTCTGAGGTGCAGGGAGCAGCTTGGGGGAAGGGTCATCACAGGCAGAGGATTTCTGTGTACAGAAGCTTTGATATGTGAGGAAGTGTGACACATTCGAAGCCCAGAGTGTTGGGAGTGAGAAGTAGAAATGCCTTTGCTCAACAAATTTATCAAGCACTTAACAGAGTGCGAGCGTGGTTTGGCCTGCTCTGAGAGGTGTGCGGCGTGTCTCGCGTTTCATTGTCATTGTTACCATTGTTTTTCTTCATCCCTTCTCAGTTAATTCAGCCTCCGCTTATGTGCTCACCTCCTTGACCTCTGACTGCTCTCGCCCGCTAGAGATGTGTTTGCCCATCTCACTGGTCTCCCTCTCCCACGCTCAATTCTGTTCACAGCTCATGAACTTGCGAGCAATATGATATGATTTTCCTCTTGTTTCATGAAAGAGTAAGTTTTGAAGTGAAATTAGACACGATTAAATAAAATTCCATCAACTCCTGAAACCACCTTAAAGTGGCTCTTATAAGCACCGCAGAGCCTCTGTCATTTTCTTTTTGTCCTGTCATTCATTTTGTACTTCCTTGGGGATATCAAGACAATGAAAATGAGTAAGGAATTACTTTCTTTGTTCTGTTAATTTGCCAACATCTTAAAGTGCTTTTTCTTACTTGGAAAACGGACAGGACAGACGTAACGTGAGGACAGAGGATGCAGGTTCTGGAAGCCAGGTGACAGTTCCAGGTGTGGTTCCAGAGAAGGGCCCCCAGCTCCCAGCCGTCTGTCTCTGAACCTGCTGAGAGCCAAAGCGACCACCATGGGCCCCGGGCGCCAGCGTTTCAGAAGCAGTTTTGTGCAGAGCACTTTGCAGTGCTGTGTGCGAGCCAGCAGGAAGCTCAGGGCGGCCTTGTGGATGGAGGGACCTTTGGGTGGGACCTTGAGCAATCCGTCGGGTGGAGGGAGCACAGTGACCAAAGGTCCCAGCGGCTAGGTGTGTCAGGAAAAGGTGTTCTTCCTTGAGCACAGGGACTTGAACCTGGAAAAATAATTAGGGATCAGATTCTGGAGGGCCTTGCAGTGCTATGAGAAGTTTGGGTTTTGTTTGGAAAGCAGTGAGGAGCCATTGAAACTGTCGGGGATCGTTTGAGTTATTATTCCCCTTTAGAAGAAAGTTCTGACGTAAGATACAGCAAACCACCAGTATCCTAGGTATACTGGCTTAGGCTGGTTTTGTGGGCTCCCCTGTGAATAAGTTACATTTTTCTCCAAACTAAACTGTTGAGTATGATAACTAGGGCAGGAATTTGTGGATAAAGACTATTTTTTAACCACTCTGTTATGACAAAATTCAAAATGCTTTTAAAGGTATGCATGCATACATTTGGATTCTGATTTTTTTAAAGAGAATCTTAAGCATGCTTAAAGTACTTGGGCTTTTAAAATTTTTTTCTACTATGAAAGGAAATAAGATTTTATTACCAGTTGTTTGCTTTGATTGGTGAGTTTAATCAGAGAAGAAAATAAGAATATTAAAGATCTAAAGTAGATTTGAATTGTTATTGCTCAAGTTTATTGTATGTACATGTGCATACATATGTTATATTTACATGATATTTATCTTAAGGGAATATGTATGATACACATAGTCGGTACTCAACTGGTATTACTTTTATGTATTTTAAAGTCTTACTGTGTTCATATTCCTAACTAGATCATTTATATTTTGAGAAGTACACATTATGCCTAGTTTGCATTTGCCGTATAATGTTAGCACTCAAAAATGACTAATTCAAGATAGCTTTATTAAAAACTTCTAGGAAATGATAGCTACTGTTTTAAGATGGAATGCCATACTCATGTTCCCTAAAAGGAACCCTTTTCCTTTAACCTTCTATTTATAGTTCTTTAATTGTATTCACAGCTTGAAATGACACTTTCTAAGTGATGGGGTTACTAAAGTGTATTTTGATTTAAAGGTAGATATGAACATACAGAAGATATTGAAAGTTTTTTTCCCCTGCCTTCTTGGAAACTGCTATAATAATCAAGTTTTAAGTCATCTTATATAATTCATTTTTAAATAGTGTTTAATTTTTTCCTATTGTGAGAATTGTATAAGTGTATTAAAATTTGGAAGATAATTTTTAAAAATCACCCCAACCCTATTATTAACTACCAAACCCCAGTTAATACTGCTATTTGATATATTTCCTTTCATCCTTTTTTTGTTTCAATTTATATTTTTAAAATCATAGTCATAATAATAATGTGACTAAAATTTTGTGGACTGCTTTTTAAGGTAATATCACATCAGAAATTTGTATGCGTGATGGTATGAGCCTGTAGTCCCACCTACTCTAGGAACAGAGACGGGAGAATCACTCGAGCCCAGGAGTTCAACTACAGCCTAGACAACATAGACCCCATCTCTTTAAAAAACAAAAAAAACTAAAGTAAGTTTTGTGATGTTCTGTGGTCTTTATGACCATCAGCTTTAACAGAGTGATCTCCTTGATGGAATGTAGTGCATCAAAGGTTATTTAAATCATTGTGTTATTTTTTAGACATTCAGGTTATGTTCTGATTTTTCTTTATTGTGAATAACACTATCCTGAACATATTAAAGCATAAATATGCTCTAATTTTGTATGCAGGATTATTTTCTTAGATATCCAAAGTGAAAATAGACACTTATCTGGATAACTCATAGGTACCATAGTTCATACTCATCATGTCCAAATCTGAACTTTGATTCCATTCCCCAGCCATCCTGCATAAATTGTTTGTTAAAGTCACATAAAAATATAGAGATCATTCTCCATGCAGAACATTTTATTTGGGAATATATGTTTTAAAGAAACAATTGCAATTCGAGGCATACACACAGACAGGGTGGTCTTGGGTATGTCTAAAGAACAAAGAGAAGGGCAGGAGTTTTATCAGAAAGAGAAATGCTGCTTATTATTTTGAATGAAGGACCGTTGGCACTAGCCAAGTTTTCGGGAGCTGGCCAGCTCTGACTGGTGACAGTCACGGCTCGGTGTTTCAGCGGCTACTGGGTGGAACTGGTCTGAGGGTCGTGGCAGGTGTGTCCGCTGCTGGGCTTGCGGGTCATCCTGGCAGCAGGTGCTTTGTGCCCCGAGTGCTTTTCCTCCTGGACCTTCGACTGTGGCTTAGTTGGGTGCGACAAGAATGACCCAATGCGTGTCATCCCTGTCACACAGTCTGTTTCACCAAGGCTTCCTTGGAGTTATGCCACGTTCCCTTTCTCTGCCTGAGCCCCCCACTTTCCTTAACCCCAAATCCGGTCGATTCTGCCTCCTCAGTATCTCTCATACCTTGTCTTCCACCCTCTGCCCCGCCAGGCACTCGTCCTCAGCTGTCGTCTTGCCTGCCCCACTGTGTCTACTCCTGCCACCTCCCCAGCCCATCTTTCCACCTCTGCGCTCTCCAACACTCACGTCCAATCCTGTCCTTCCAAGTCCTCTGTGTGGTCCGTCCTGCTGTTTGCTAGGATTCCAGGACCAGGCGTGTGTGTCTCCTCTTCTCACCCCAACCTGTGTGCTCCAGTGACTCTGAACTGCTGCGGCTCCCTTAACATGCCGCCTCCCCTCCGCAGAGCGCCTCTATCCGCTGCAGGCCTTCCCACCCCTGCGGCCTCTGTCTGCTTCTGCATCCGCCCATTTGGCTGCTGCCTCCGCCTGGCGTTGCAGTTGTGTGTTTCCTCTCCAGTAGACCGTGCCTCTCTGAGGACAGATGCCTTGTGTTGTCTCTCTAAGTCCTCAGTAACTAGCGAAGAGTAGCTACTTAGGGATTGGTGGTTGTTTTTAAGGCTCTTGAAACCTTAACTGTGCCAGTGTACATTGCTACCAATATTGACAGCATGGAGTATCGAGTTCTGTGGAATCACCCAGTCCTGGAAGATACACATAATAGTTTAAGGATTTTGACTCTAGTGTTTTGAATTTCCTGTTTTCTATTTTCCCAGGAGTTCCATATTTATTCTCTTCGCAAGCTTTCATCAGTGAGCATATAAATATACATATGTGCTATTAAAAATTCTTTTTTTCTCTCCAGTCAGTAAAATACCATGTTGTGCTAATGGGTGCTCTCTAGCAATTGTGTTCACAGACATTGCATTAGTCATTGGGTGTTTTAAAAGCCCTTTGGTTCTATAAATAGCATGGCTTTGCCACTTAACATTGAGCACTGTCCCCATTCTGTGATTGTCTACAAAGATCATTTAAACAACAGCATTTAAGTTTCCTCTTGTCTTTATATGACAGTGCATTTGTGACTTTTTCCTATACGTACTGTTTATGGTAGTTTGGTGTAATTTTTTATCATGTGGCTAAGGGGACACATTTACTTTTTTAGGTATGTGATTGGACATATATTAATAATAGATATAATGGAAAAAATAGCTTAAGAATATCCTGAATGGTAGGCTTGGGAAAGCTAATTTGTGAAAATCTTAAAAAGAAATCCTACTTTAAATGAAAGTATTTTCAGACAGAGTCTGGTAAGCTTTTTCTGTAAAGGATCAGATAGTAATATTTTAGGTGTTAAGGATCTGCATATGTTCCTGTCACATAATCTTAGATTTTTTTCTAACTCTTTAAAAATATAAAAATCCATTCTTAGCTTGAGTGCTCTAAAAACCAAACCTTTGGGGATGCTCTCTAGAGGTGGAAAAAGTCAGTCTGCCATATTTATAAAGATTTTGACCTCTTAGTTCATGATGGTAAGTGTTCAACTTGTCTCATTTACTCTTTGGGTCTTCGAATTAACTTAAGCCAAACACTGGATATGATGCTACATCCTGAGAAATTGCCTTCACCCAGGTCGGTGGGTACAGCAGCGTGAAGGACTGCTAAATAGAACATCAAGAAGGGATTCATAAATATAAGCCCGTTTAATAGGCATGTGTTTGGGACCCTGTGTAAAGAGAACTGCATAAACGCCGTGGACCGGCCAAAGTGGCTGCAGGTGTGGAAGCTGCTGGTAATTTGCCGAATCAGCACAGCTTAGATCCACCAGAGAGCACCTGGCTCTGGGAGAGTGGGCAGAGCCGGTGGGATGAAAAGGCCATGCCCAAGCCCTGGGTGACTGGGTAGAAGATGCTTTAACTATTTGGTTGCAAATAAATACATACACTACGAGCAAAATTTCACACGTGATCGTTTTCCTAGGATTTCTCCAGAGACATAATGGACAAATTTGGAGAGAGATTCTGTCTTGAGAAGGACGATCTCAAGACATGCAGCAGTGATGGGGGTAAAGTTTGGTCGGCTGTGACCAGCCAGACTCCACCCCTCACACATTGAACTCCAGTGCCACCTCTTTGGGAAGGATCTTTCCAACCTTTCTGAAAAAGACAGCGTTTGCTTGCCCCTTTGGGGCATAGTATTTGATCTTAAAGATATTGAGTATTTCATTTTTGCTCCTGGCCTTTAGAATCATTAAAAATTGGTAGATTAAGGTTTTTAAAATACATATAACAAGCAGCTGCTTTATTAAATGATTAGGTACAAATGTAAACATTGAGAAATGTATTAATATGTTAATGTTTTCTCTTGGTTTCAGGTTCTGAGCATCCAAGTGAAATGCTTCCATGAAATTATCACTATAGGTTACAGAGTCTATCGTTCCTATGATCTACCATGGTTTAGAACACTAAGCTGGTAAGTAAGCTTGAAGCTGTTTTGGATACGAAAATCTGGTTTATTTCTAAAGCTTATAAAGGAAACATCCTGCTCAGTCAGTATCCACCCAGTTTATCAGATAGATTGATTTTGGAGAAAGATAAATTTAAAAAATGTAGTTGAATATCACCTTTATCTTTCCCACTCCAGCACTCTTTTCACATCTCATATTTCAGTCTTGTAGAGATATCTAATTTATGTTGAATGTTATACCATTCTTGTCCTTTTAAAGAAAACTAAACATTGTATTGGACAATTTTTATATCCTTTATAATTATGATTTTAGCAAACATTTACTAACGATCTTTTGCTTTTTTTTCTTTTCTTTTTTTTTTTTTTTTTTTTTGAGAGTCTCACTGTGTTGCCCGGGCTAGAGTGCCGTGGCGTCATCCTAGTTCACAGCAACCTCCAACTCCTGGCCTCCAGAGGTCCTCCTGCCTGTATAATCTTTTGCTTTATTTCCCCTCAGTTGACATGAGAACACACAAAATATTGTATATATACACGTGCTTGTAGTTAGTAAGAAGAAAATCACCAAATGATTTTAACATTTAAAGTTTTACATCTTTTCAAAACGTTTCAGGTATAATTTATAGCTATCAAGGCCTTGTCCCGGAAACATGATAATATTATAGTTTATATTTAACCTAAGTGGCCAGCCTTTTAATATAGTTGCTTTAATTAGTATCAGCAAGGAGACAGTGTCTTATTAACAGGTAGAGTTCAGAATAGTCAAAAAGAAGTTTCTTGATTTGGGGGAGAGCTGATTTTTCTTCGAGCAGGTTTCTTTATGAGTGGTAAAGTATACAAGAAATGTTAGGTAGATAAATAATTGGAGAATAATTAAGTGCCAAACCATGCAGGATTGATTCTGAGTGTAGAAAAGGAAAGATAAATCAGGCTGGGCACCAGTGATTGCACAAGCCTTCATAGAAGAGGTGAGAGAAAAGCTGATTATTTAAATAGGCAGACTTTGGGTAGAGAAGTGGATTCTAGCTAGAGAAGCAGCACCCGTCAGTTTCTGGATGTGGGACAGGTGTACCATGTACTACAGATGGTGAGACGTTCCTGACCCTCTAGAGCAGAAGGCATTTATTAGAGAGTAGTGGGCAGAAAGTTAGATTGGTGAGCTAGGTTAGGCCTTGACTGCATTAGAGGAGTCAAAGACAGTCTCCACTGTAAGAAAACAGAAAAATGGTAAGGCAGTTGATGGAAATGAGAACACTTGCCCTGTACTTTGGAACATTGGGTATAATTGCATCAGTGAGAACCAGAGGGAAACCCACCCTCTTCCTCTTTTATGGCTCCCCCAGCTAGCTAGGACTCGAGGATGAGGCACTGAGGAGCTGTAAGGCAGTGTTTCTCAGCCTTTTTCCTGGCTCGTACAAGCTGTCATCAGCAAAATTTTGGTGGGTTCACCTCTTCCTTGAGGGTGAGGGATGTCTTGGTGGAGGGACAGGTGAGATTTTTACCTGTTGCAAGCTCCCTGCTCCCCCTGCAGAGTCACTGCTCAACTGGAGCACATCTGGAGCATTAGAAGACGGGAGAAACATGCTACTATGTGCAGGGCAGTGGGGAGATAGTTGGAATTACCTCTTCCTTCTTTCCCTCTTCATCATCTTTAGGGCAGGTGGGGATTGGTCTCAGGACCTATACTATTAAAAAGCGTTAGAGTCATGAGTAGTTGGGAGTTATTTTCCATTGTAATAGCGTGTGTGTGTATGTGTGTGTGTATATACACATGTACACACCAAAGGTGAGGATTGTGTGTGTGTGGAGTATTTTCAACGTTGTTTCTTAATTATCTCTGGCATTAGGTTTTGAGCTAAATAAAGGCATGAACTATATTCAGTAAATTCTTGTTAATCAGCAAGTTTAAAATTAAGTTTAAAACAGAAAAATAATATTTTGGTGGAATATATCTTGAGTTGGTCTTCTGAACTTGGTTTTGATCTTTGTGTCATTAAAATGTAGGGAATAATTCTGTTGAGTTTGAGGGGAAGGAAAGCTTCAAATATAAAGCTAATTGTTTTTAAATTATAGGTACTTTCTATTGTGTGTGAACTACTTTTTCTATGGAGAGACTGTAGCTGATTATTTTGCTACATTTGTTCAAAGAGAAGAACAACTTCAGTTCCTCATTCGCTATCATAGATTTATATCATTTGCCCTCTATCTGGCAGGTAAGTTAAAGAAAATATTTTCTATTGATATGTAGCTAACTTATTTTCCATGTTTATTTTTATTTAAATTCATAACATCCTTTATTTGTTACATTTTATTCCGGCCCCTCTTTTTTTTTCACGTATAAAGCTGTTTCTTTCATCACGGTCTTAGATATTAATAGCAATTATTTCCTAATGGTGGTTAAAAATAGTACTTAATAATAGTCCCTCCATATATTTGAAAATTTTCTTTGTAAGTTGTAATAAAGAAACTTAAACACATAGTGATTATTCACCAGATGTAATTTACAAAGAAACTTTCACATGTATGTTGCTTTATTTGTCCCTGGAAAATAGAGCTTTTTCATGTAGAATTAATCAGAGTAATTAGTTTTCTTGCCATGATTTATTATATACAACTTTGTTTATAGTATGTTGTGCCACATGCTTTTATGATTTGAGATTAAAAATTATATTTTTAGAGTAATGTTAGAATAAAGTGATTTCTTTTCCATAAAATTTTACCAATCATAAAAAAAAAAATCTCTAAGAAATTGATTTTGAAATGTACTTTTTATTAATAAAAGCCAGATTGCTGGCCGGGCGTGGTGGCTGTGGGAGGCTGAGGCAGGAGGATCGCTTGAGCCCAGGAGTTGGAGGTTGTAGCAAGCTATGATGACACCACTGCACTCTACCCAGGGCGACAGAGTGAGACTCTGTACCCTTCCCCCCCCCCCCCAAAAAAAAACGAGATTGCCGCTTATTATTTGAGTTAATGTTGGCATATTTAATTAAATTATCTGTGCCTCAGTTTCTTTGTAAAGCACTTAGAGCAATACCTGGAACTATTTCAACATTCGTTATCAGTTGTTTTTGAAGAGTAAAACACTTGACTCTGGTTCTGCGTTTATCAAAACACCTTTGTGGCATTTTTTTCATGGTAGGAATTTTGAATATTTTCTCTCACCCAAACCAGTAAGCTTGATTTATTTTGATAATTGTAAGGTGGATTCTGGATGAATTCTTTCCTGTTATGGGAGAGAAGACTATAGTAGCTTCTCAGTTTATGTTTAGATGGGCAAGATTTCTTTTCTGGCATTTTGAGTTTTAATAATAATACTGACAAGAAAGGGGGTCTGTGGTGTCTTCTGTTATTGAACCCAACAATTTTACTTTATTTCATGTGCTTATTTTCGTAATTATGTAGAAACAATTGTGATTAATTAAAATGTAAGTCATTTGTATCATTAATATATATGGTACATTAGTTTTAAAAATCATTTTCAAAAGAATTACAAAGAGCAACCCTTTATTCCACCACTTTCAGATTTTTTCTGCTTTTCTAATATAGCTATCTTTTAACTCATTTTAGGCATTATCTATTGACAGCTTCTTATAACCTCTCACTTCTCCATACTCAGATTCAATAGACATTACCTGCATAATAGTTGTTATTAATTTTTGTATTATGTAAGGATTGAAAACATTCTGTAGATACACTTGATGCATTGGTGCAACAACTAAATTTTATTTAATTGAAATTCAGTATCTGTTTTCCATGTCCGTGTATTAGCCAGAGACTCATTCGTTGGATTAGTACAAGGGATGCTCATTGGCTGCGTGCCATGGAATCAGGCACTTTGGAGAGTCCAAGATTGTTTCTCTCAAGAAACTTAAAATGCTTAATTTAAGATGATAGAGAGATGGCATCCGACTAAGTAACTAACAGAGGCCTAGATATGCTACAGGAAATCGGCTTTCTTGGGCTCAGGGAATCTCACACTTTGTGCCAAATCGCACTACAAGCACGTTTTTTGTTCTTGGACAGGTTTCTGCATGTTTGTGCTGAGCTTGGTGAAGAAACATTATCGTCTGCAGTTTTATATGGTGTGTATTAACCATTATTCTGTGGTCATTATATGTAATAAAAACCTAATATGCTAGTTCATGTCTTGCCTAAATATGAGGGGTATTTCAATTTCAGATGACCATTAAATATAAAACATTGAAGTTGAAAAGTTTGTGGGGATTTTTAAATTTTAACTATTTTCAAAGCTTCCTGAAACCTTTTTGTTTGAATACTTTTAAATGCTGTAAAGTTAAAATATTTGGATTCCTTAAATTTATAGAAATTTGAAGAGTTTCATAGTCTCCTGGGCAGTTCCTAAATATGGGAAACATCTACTACGTTCTGTGGAAAGTAACTGCGTTTACTTGCTCTTAGCACGAGCGTAAAGGGAGCAGGGCATGTATTTTTTGGTAGTTATGGTTAATCATAGAATCGTGTAATTCTTCTTGGCACAAGGTATTTTGTTCAGCATACCAAAGTCTATGTTTTATGAACTTTATCACTGTACATAATGAACTTTTCTTATTTTCTTAAGCTGTAGTTAGTTAGAAGAATGGACACTGTAATGTAGGATTTAGTAAGGCTCGTTTTGGAAGTGCAGTGTATATTCTTCATGCTTTTCTTTCCTCCATCAGGACGTTCTGCTGAGCATTAGTGCTGGGAAATTGTAGCTGTTTCTTACATTTCTAATTTCAGAGGGTCTGAAAATGAAGAGTAAAATTTTTAGTGAAAATCTAGAAATAATCAAGACAAACTAGAAATAGAATCTCCTATGAGAATATAAATTGTGCCTAGTGGAAAAAAATTATGTATGCATTTCGAAGCAACCAGGTAAAAGAGAATTGGATCTTTTCAGCAGATAAAAATAAAATGAAACAAAACAACCAATATAATACATGGTTTGCTGCCATGGGAAGCAGATTTATTAAGAATAAATCAAAATCCCAATTATAAAAAGGCATTTTATAAAGTTCAATAAAAATTATAAGCCTAGTATATGGAAACTTTAGCTTCTTTTTGTTTACATTCCACTGAGACTGGTTATGTTAAAAGTCACTAAAGTGGCCATCTCAGGCTATATGGCGTTGATGACACACAAAGATCTTTGAAAATTTGAAATTGAATACTGTTGTTGAACGGACCTGTCACAGGCAGTTGAACCCTGTTGGTTTGAATCATTTGAAGTTAGAAATATTAATCTTTACGAGAAAAAGTTACCATAATAAACTCTGAAAGAAAAATAATTTTTAGCATTTTTCATAACTGCAGAATGCAGCCAGAGTAAAGTATTCTCTAAATGCTGTAACAACACCATATATTTCTCATTATCATTTAAATCTAATGAATCAAGATTATGGTCTATGTGTGTGTTTTTTAATTTAGTAGTATATCTATTATTAGCATTCTGCTTGTATATAAGTTAAGATTACTTCGTTAAATGTTTTCATTATTTTAAGGTTCCAATAGGTAAAAAAATGAATATAATTTACTAACAGCATTTATTTCATATGACCTTGCCTTACAAATTTTGACCAAAAGTCAGGGTAGAAATTTGTGTTCCAAAGTCACTATTGCTTTTTCGGCTACACGAATGAGTTGTGTTTACTAATTTTTGTGTTGTTGGGCTGTTAACAGTTCGCATGGACTCATGTCACTTTACTGATAACCGTTACTCAGTCACACCTTGTCATCCAAAATCTGTTTGAAGGCATGATATGGTAAGGGAGCAGTATTATGCTGCTTTATACTTATGTCGTAGCACTTTTAAAGCTCTTTAACGTTGGACAGTGTCTTAACAAATTTCTACTAAAACGTGCTGTTTGTTGTTCCTGTATTCCATTAAAACGTCTTACTGAGTTCTGCTTACTGTTTGACAACTAAAGACAGAAATGCTTCATTAACAAGTAGAAACTTTTTATTTGAGTTCCAAATAAAGCGCATAAAATTCCCCATATGATCCTCAAATAATTAATTACATTTTCGGGTGTTAATAAACTTCAATGTGACTTTTTACAAAGGATAGACTTTAAAGATATTAAGATACTATATACATGGAATACAAAGGAATATGGAAGTTTGCTGGCCAGTGAACAGTGACCTGGAAATACATTTTTCTCTAGGTGAAAGTTGGGTAGGTTCTGCTTCTCTTTCATGCAGGAGTAGGTTTCCAGATTTCAGATGTACGGAGTTACCTGCTCTGTAGCAGTAGCTTGCATATTCAGAAAGCATTTTTATTGGTTAAAAATTATAAAACTTAAAAATTAGATGGAATGGAGAAAAAGCTTAAGATTAAAAAGAATCTGACCATATTTTTCCCACATTGATTTTAAACTGATTAATTAAAGTCTTACAGTTGATGGGTTTTATCAAGATAAATTTTATTCCCTTGACAGGCTTATGCTTTTTACCAAGGGATATGTGTGTTTGTGCAAACAATTGCAATCACTTTAATACTATCTTCCATATATTGCACGAACTTTTTTTTTTTTTTTTTTTTTTTTTTTTGAGACAGAGTCTCACTGTGTTGCCCAGGCTAGAGTGCCGTGGCATCAGCCTAGCTCACAGCAAACTCAAACCCCTGGGCTCAAGCGATCCTCCTGCCTCAGCCTCCCAAGTAGCTGGGACTACAGGCATGCGCCACCATGCCCGGCTAATTTTTTCTATATATTTTTAGTTGTCCTTCTAATTTCTTTCTTATTTTAGTAGAGACGGGGTCTCGCTCTTGCTCAGGCTGGTTTCGAACTCCTGAACTCAAACAATCCGCCCGCCTCGGCCTCCCAGAGAGCTAGGATTACAGGCGTGAGCCACCACGCCTGGCCACAAACTTTTAATTAATGGGAACAGTTACTGAAGTAAGTAGGTTCTGTATTAGTAGAGTTTAATGCAGTCATAGCTAAGATAGAATTAAAATTAATAAAAGGCTGCTTTTCTTAAGATAATCTTTTAGTCTGTGTTTTTAAAATTATTGTTATAACTTGCTCCTCATAAAACTAAAATTTCAGCTGGACATGAGTAGCTTGTACCTGTAATAGCAGCTGCTTGAAAGGTTGAGGCTGGAGGATTGTTCAAGACTGACCTGGGTAGCATAGTGAGACCCTGTCTCTAAAAAAATTTTTAAAAATTAGCCAGGCACAGTGGCGCAAGCTTGTAATGTCCGAGCTACTCAAGAGGCTGAGGTGGGAGGATCACTGTGGCCAGGATTTCAAGGCTGCAGTGAGCTATGGTAGCACCACTGCACTCAAGCCTGGGCAGCTAGAGCAAGACTCTGCCTCTAAAAGAAGTTTAAAAAAAAAAACAAAAAAAACTTAAAATTTAAATTAGGAAATAGACATCAATTATAGAAAGATATTGAGATAGTTGTCAATTATAGAAATTGATAGTTGAATATTTTCCTTATCAATATTCTCCTAGTATATTTGTTTATTTATAGATTTTGCTCTGCTTCAATTGCTAAATGGGCAAACTTGGTTGGCGTTTATTCTTTCTATATTCTACTGGTTTATTATGAGTTATAACCTATATGAACATTTGCAACTTAATCATATGAACTTCTTTTTTTTTTTTTAACAGGTTCCTTGTTCCAATATCAAGTGTTATCTGCAATGACATAACTGCTTACCTTTTTGGATTTTTTTTTGGGAGAACTCCACTAATTAAGGTAATAGAAAAATATGGTGGAATGGAGACGATATTAAAGTGATTTCCAATTATTTACGCACGTGCACACACACCCCCTTTAGTAAACCTGTCGGGAATAAAATTTATCTTGGTAAAATCCATCAACTATAAAAGACATTAATTAATCAGTTTAAAATTAACATGGGAAAAATATGGTCAGATTTTTTTTTAATCTTAAGCTTTTTCTCCATTCCAACTAGTTTTTAAGTTTTATAATTTTTAATAAAAACGCTTTCTGAATATGCAAGCCACTGCTATCAAGCCGGTAACTCCATACATCCGAAGGTTACCGTAATCTTAAAGATCAGCCACTAGAGAACATTTCCAACATCTTGGTGCTATTGCACATTTTTGATTCCTGAGGTCCTTTGATTTTCCTTAGCTGCGCTTCACGATGCAGTGTGGGGGACAGTGAGCCGCTCCCAAGAATTCCATCTGGTTCTTGATCAGACGGTTTGTGGCTCCTCCATAAGGGCCTGACTCCATCGGCTTGTGAAGTGTTAGCGCATCTTCCTGCTGGTTCCTGGTGTCCGCCATTGGTGCAGTTCTTCATTCTCCTCCCCGCAGCCATGCAGACAAGCCTTCCCTTGACTCTGCTCCACCGCCAGGCTGTCCCCTTCTGCCCCGCCCGTACCAGACTTGCTGAGAGAGTAAATTATTCCATCTTCACATATTCATGTCTATTTGCAAGACTTTTGTATCCAAATTCATTTCAATAAAAGATTCGGGGGCCCTCCAGTACATGCTGATGAAACGCAGGTAATAAGGAAAGGTTAAGACAAGGGAAAGGGAAACACGCAGGTGCAGATCATGTTGTTTTGCCTTAAAGTTGGTTCTGTTTATGGGCAGCGGAGGCAGAGACGGAAACGAACTAAATTACGCAGTTCTCGTTTTGGGGAAAAAGAAACCAATTCTTCGTGAAAATCAAACCATTTTCTAGAGCTGATTTCTTAGAAAAGCTTTTCATGCTGGGTCTTCAGATAGGATTCACTCAGTTCACACACCGGGCAAAGTCTTTTATAACATTCTCACGAATACATTACTTGGCTGCTTTGATGTTAGTATTTGAAGGCAGTTTTAGAGGGACTGAGATAGCCGTTCAGGTGTAAAACCTTCTGCCTGTTCGGAGTGGTGAGAGAGAAGCCGTGCGTTCCCAGAAGAATCCATAGACTGCCTTTCCTTCAAAAAATCTTCCTTAAACTTCCCCCCCTTGGGGAGGAGCCGCAGAGAGCCCTGGCTGAGCTGCAGGGATAGTTGCAAGCAAGCTGTGTATTTTTTAAAACATTTCTAAAGCTGCTCCAGAGCAAGCGATTAAGTATTCAGGAGTTCTACTCAGGCTGAGACGTTTTTGGCTTAGGAAGCCTTCCGAAGGGCTGTTGTAGCTGTAGGAGAATCTCAGTGACTGCTTCTGAAGAAAGCTTTCCAGCGAATTTACCAGGCTGGATTAGTTGCATAATGTACCTTAAGATAATTGAACAATTAAGCTCTAACTCAGTATGATATGAATCAATTTCATTTGATAAGCTATCTTTAAAATAATCAACAGACACTTTTGAATTTGAGTCTGCTCTTTCTTCATGGCGATAATACCAGATTATCTGAGGAGAAGGTATATCTGTCCCTTTTCTGTGGCAGAGTTGTTATCAGATTTCTCAAGAAACCATTTCTGCCAACCATTTGGTTTTGGGCTTTATGAACATCAGGACAAGAGGTCCGTAAAGAGCTGTTGTGGCTTAGTGTGTGGCCCATTTTGGCTTCTGTCCACAGTCACTGGTCTGATGACCAAAGCCCCATGTACATGGTCATCCTTATCCTGTGTGCACCTGCGGGCAGTTAGCACCTTCCACTCCTGAGTCTTTCCCTCCTGCCCCCAGCACCACTAGGTTCCAGATTTCCTTCCAGATTTCTCTCTGAATGCCCCATTGACTGAGAAAAAATAGCCCGACTCTGAAACAAATAGTGTCTATTCTTAGCAGCACAACATGTTCCTTTCTTCCTGGAGACAGACATGGATTATGCAAAAGAGAGAAGGATATGTGGCTACTTAAGGAGCAAATACAGTATTTGGGGGCTGTGGGGTATTTCACCGTTTCAGAAAGAAGTCCGTGTACAGCATGTTAGGAATATGTGAAGACCTGGTGTGCTGCGGTGTCCGTGTTTTGTTGTATTCATTCTGTTTTGGGTCAATAGCAGGTCATTACTGGCCATGTGTACTTGGAATGTATATATCTCATCCTTATTCCAAGAACTTACACTATCTATTATGGGACGTTATATAAGCATAAAAGTCATGGGCGGTCGATTATTTGAGTATAGAGTTTATAGTTCTTTGAAAGAAAAAAACAAATCGTGGCTATTTAAGAGGAACAAACACATATTGACAGCATGTCAAATGTTTGAGTGCCTGCTGTGTGTTTAAATGCTACCGGAGAGATTTACCAGTAAATCAGGATCATAGAATGAAGGGAAAGGGTTTTAAGCTATTGCAATAGGGAAAAAGCAGAATGACGGACGAGGTATTGCGGGAACTCCTTAAACACAGTTTGCATGTGTATTGTATGCTTTGTGAGTGCAGTAATGCTTTTCAATTTTATTTGGCCTTTTTTTAGTTGTCTCCTAAAAAGACTTGGGAAGGATTCATTGGCGGTTTCTTTTCCACAGTCGTGTTTGGATTCACTGTGAGTTTTACTAGGATTTTTATTTTATGTATATTTTGGAAAACAACGCCAAGTTTATTAGTCTATTATAAACCTAAATATTAGACCACAACATGCGAATAATGTGTTATATTTATTGAGACCTACTAAACAGAACCTATTCTGTATCTCCGTCACTCTTAGCCCGGCTGTGTCTCGAATCACCTGGGAGCGTAAACAAAATCTGTGTCTCAGCCTTATCCCAGGCCAGGTAACTCCCCAGGTAATTCTAATGTACAGCCGGGCTTGAGGCCCACTGTTGTGCTGTTGTGTTTTAGTCATTTCTCACAGCTGTTCTGCCTCTGCGGGGAGGACACAAGCACTGGGGCAGGTGGTGGCTTTGAGTAATGGCAGAGAATGCAAACGATGCTGACGGGTTCTACCTTCTTGACACGTGGTGGCCACTTGGCTCAGTGAGTGGTTACTGCCATGATCACAACTTGCAGGAAGATTCTATTAATTGTAAATAATTAATGTTCACTTTTAGCTGTGAATAATGGATATTCAAGTTTTAAAAATTAGTTTACAGTTATGGAATTTAGTTTTTTGTTAAAAGTTGCCTAGTTAGAATTAGTAAGGGTGCAGTAAAATGGCTGAATGTAAGATAAATATACAAAAGAAATTACTGTTAGAAGGTTTAATTTTTTAACAGTCTAGTTTCTGACAGTTGTAGTTACATTCTGTAACCAAATCTAGAGTAACTGGTAACAATGTGAAGCTTTGAGAGAGAGCAAACATACAAATAAATGGAACAGTGCCATGATCCTAAGTGGGAAAACCACCATAATTCCTCCATTTAACTTACAAGTTTAGTTCATTCTCAGTGAAAATTCCAATAAAATTTGATAAAGTTACTCCAAAGTTTTTGTGGTAGACTATTGATGACATAACAAGTGATGAATGGAATGAAAAAGGATCCAACCACATCTAGTGTTTTTACATTACAAAATAAGAATGATTAAAACATTATTAAATTAAGTCATACTTTAAGATTTTGGTATTATTAAAGATTAATTTGGAAATAGTACAGGAATAACCATGTTATTGGAAGAAAATAGCTACCCCATAAGAATGTAATGCATGACAAAATAATGAGGGAAATGATACATATTTTCAAATAAATGGTTATGAAGAAACTGTTTGAAAGCAAAATAAGTTTATATCCATTCCTAGAATTATATTTGGATTTTAGCCATTCTTTTTTTTTTTTTTGAGACAGAGTCTCACTGTGTTGCCCAGGCTAGAGTGCCGTGGCGTCAGCCTAGCTCACAGCAACCTCAAACTCCTGGGCTCAAGCGATCCTCCTGCCTCAGCCTCCCGAGTAGCTGGGACTACAGGCATGTGCCACCATGCCCGGCTAATTTTTTCTATATATTTTTAGTTGTCCAATTAATTTCTTTCTAATTTTAGTAGAGACAGGGTCTCGCTCTTGCTCAGGCTGATTTCGAACTCCTGAGCTCAAACAATCCGCCTGCCTCGGCCTCCCAGAGAGCTAGGATTACAGGCGTGAGCCACCGCGCCTGGCCGAGAACAGCTAGTTTTAAAAACTAGTAATGTGGCCAAGGAAAGTAATGTGGTCAAAGTTTTGTGGATTGGCTAAGAGCAATGGTGTTTTTCACCTGTACTATTTTGTGTTAATACTATTTTTTCAGTAATTTTGAATCACTGGTTAATTAACTGATGAAATTAATATAAACTTGTTTGCAATAAACTTACATCTTTGACTCTCCTGTGTAATTGTGGTCATACAGAGGTTGAAATCTCATTGATTTCAAAAACTCTTTCATTTTCTAAAGGTCTTTGAAGTCTTTTGCCGGGACAGTTATGACCATCTAACTTTGAAAATACATAGCAGAATGTTAATACAAAGAAGTTCTGGTATTCTGTCTCTGGCCTCTCTGATACATAACTTAGAACATGTATATTTGCTTTGTTATTCAGGCTGCCTACGTGTTATCCAAATACCAGTACTTCGTCTGCCCCGTGGAATACCGAAGTGATGTCAACTCCTTCGTCACGGAATGTGAGCCCTCAGAACTTTTCCGGCTTCAGAGTTATTCACTTCCACCCTTTCTAAAGGCAGTGTTGAGATGGGTAAGAGTAAACATGGTTAGGGATCTTCCGCTCCGACCATTAAGCCTTCTGTAAAAGTGGGATTCATGTTTAACTGATTTGTATAAAATCTTTCACTCTTTAATGTAGCAGTAGTTTGAGTTTATTGTCAATATTATATTCTATCTCCTTGTGATTTCTCTCTCTTGAACATAAAATGAGTGTTACTATTGCGAATCAGTTGTGTACTAGGAATTTACTTGCCTAATGGTTTAAATGCTGATGGTAACTTATTTTGTATTTGTTTTGAAGACTTTTTTTCAATTATTTCATAGGTTTTTACAAATCAAATGGATTAGAATGAGTTTTGCATGTTAATGGTATGAGTTAACTTGGTTTAAAACTTAATTAAAATGCACCAGTTCGAAGAGCCCTTGATTTTTAGAGGACATTTATTAGTACAGAAAGCTGCTGCTTCTAAAAATTAGTTTCCTTCCAAAAGGACATTGCTGCCATTTAAAGGTATCTTTGAGGTCTCTCACTGAGGAGTGTTGACATGCTTCCCAGTAGAACCCTCTGGAACCCTCTTGATCCATGTCATCAGGACTGGTGGGTGTTGGTTAAAGTGGGGAATGAAATAATAATGTGTGTGTGTCTTTGCACGCACACACATGCACGTGTTTGTGTCTGAAACATCTTATTTTTAACTAAAATACATAATTTTTGTTAAGCAGATAAATCAACAAACAATCTTTGTCCTTGAGTGCTCAATAAATGGACTCCAAGAATTTTTCAAGGTCTAAGCCGTCTGTTACCTGCTATAAAACTTTTGATGCTGCCAATCTTTGATTAGGAGCAAGTCTGTTGCTTTGAGAACAGGTCCATATATTGGTGTTCTTGGACATCTTTTTTGAACCACACCTATTATGCACTGCCTATAATTTGCAGTTTCAGGTTATTTTAAAAGGAGCAAGAACTAAGAATTTACAAAATAATTTGACTACAGAATGCCTCTCAATTTTTATGTTCTTCTCCCCAAACCTTTCGTAATTGTCTCGCCGATTCCCATCTTGGTCGTTGTCTTTATGCAGCTTACCTCTGTGTGTCTCCCACAGCATTCAGCTTACTTTTAAGAGAAAAGGCCAGTTTTCCCTTATTTGATCATATAAAATGAAAGTGAAATATAGTACAGTATTAAAATAAATTATATAATTACAAATAAAAGTATTACTACTGGTAAAAAGAAAAACACAATCACATTTAGAAATTAACTGAGTCTTAGTAAACCTACAACTGAGTTGTAGAAGTTCCCAGACAAACCAGAAGGTAGCCCCCAGCTGCAAGATTTCGGGGTGCCGGGCGCCTCGAGTACACTTAGGGAATGGAGAGCGCTGGCCGGTAGAGGGCGATTCAGACGGCTCCCCACGTATTCTTCTCCCACGGCTCTTCAAGTTTGTGAAATAAACAACAATGCGGTGTCTACTTTGGCTTGCTGTTCGTGTCGTGGTTCTTAGATCAGCGGGCATGCTCAAATGCAATTGTGATGACGTTGGCCCCACCTCTCCCCTTCTCTTTCCTCCTCAGGAAACGGTGAGCTTGTACCCTTTCCAGATACACAGCATTGCCCTTTCAACGTTCGCATCTTTAATTGGCCCATTTGGAGGCTTCTTTGCCAGTGGATTCAAAAGGGCTTTCAAAATCAAGGTGCGTGTTTCGATTCTTTGTTACGTTAGTAGAGAACGTAATTAGAGAATGTAGCCTATTTGGAATTTGGTTCACTCTTGGTCTACATTAAACCCTTAAGCAAAACTTTTTTCAGCCTTTCAGAAGGGCTGCCTGGCTGATCCGAGCGTATTCTTTCTTGTTAGGTTTTGGTCGGGCCGTGTTAATACAGTTTTAAAGTGTTGTGTCGTCTCTTTTATAGAAATGGGATATGTACCTCAGTGTTGGGACAGACGCAGAATCTCTGCCTTTTCAAGTGCTCATTCCAAGAATCCAGCCACGAATTAATTGTCTGGTGTTTATGGTTTGGCCACAGCCTCACGTGAAGGGGGAATGGGGCAGAGCCTTCGGGTTTGTGACTGTTCATTCTGTTAGGTCAGGAGTCGTCAGACGCTTTCTGCACAGGGCGAGTAATAAGCTCATCAGGCTCTGCGGACCACAGGGTCTGTCACGGCCTCTTGGCTCTAGACCGTGCCGTTGTGGTGTGAAGGCCCCACCCACAGGCAGTGTCAGTGCATGGGCCCGGCTGGGTTTACAGAAAACTTAATTTACAAGAACAAGCTGTGGGCGGGAGTTGGTCTGCAGAACGGAGTTTGCTGATCCTTGTTCCAGAGATGTGAAATCATCTCTGTGTTTTAAGTCAGATCATCACAAAGCGACGCGTTATCTCAGCAGTTTTCTCTCAGCCTCCCTCACGTGGCTTTGCTGAATTAAGGTGGAATGTTGGCCATCAGAGAGGCTGTTGAAAGTGGGGAGGTCGAGGAAGGCCTCTCTGAGGAGGTGGCATTTGAGCAGCGTTCTGAGAAAAGAAGGGAAGTAAGTGCTGCAGAGAAATGTAAGGGAGAGAATTCCAGAGAGTGCAGAGGAGGGAGGGGCTCGGCGTGTTGGCCCGGGGCGGCCGGGTTTGGGGGAGGCCAGGGAAATAGGTGAGCTCGGGGAGCTCCCGCCCGGGGCAGGCACTGCGTCAGGTGGGCGCACTGCACAAAAGCTTACAAGGCGCTGTCCCTGTTCTCTCGCCACCTACTCGGGGAGAGGAGACACATCCACAGAGAGCTACAGCGGCTGCTGTGCGGGACGAGCATCTTGTGAAGGTTGCTGACAGCTGAGTGGCGTTGAGTTGCCGCGGCTTTCTTAAGGCTTCAGTTAGTAGAGAAGAGAAGGGAGGAAGTGGGTAGGCAAAAAACAACCAAAGAATCTTTCAATAATTTCAAACAGAGAAACGTTACATTTACAATGGTATTTTTTTTTAATGGTCTCCAGTCCAAGGTTTCTTGTTGAATGGTGGGATTCTTTGCATGTCTGGAACGCAGAAGCGATTGCTGTTGCGTGTTAGATGTTTCTAGGTTGCCAGAGTGAACTAGAAGAGCAGTTAGTCCCGTCCATTCCCTGGGCACTCCGACGTGTGAATCTGTCCGCGCAGAGTCGGTTTGCAGAGGCTCACGACACAGTCCCTCAATTTGGCCCCTTAATGAACAGACAGGTCCCAAGTGAGCTGGCTGTGTTGATTTTCTTTTTACTCCAACACTTAAAAAAAATATTCATCATATTAGTAAAATGTTTATTTCAAGGTAAGAACTATTAGGATCAACATGAGTTAGAACCAGTTGTACATCTGTCTGCCACACTAAAGTAGCTACCCAAGTAGCTTCTGGTTGAACAGAAGGGTAGGCTGTAACAAATCTAGATTAGTAATAGCTGATAGAATTTTTATTTAGGAAAAATTTTATTAACTAAAAACAGTGCTAGATTTAATTAATGTTTGAATGGTGTAGGGCAATCCGGAAATCATTTTACAGTGGGCACATATTTAGAAAATACGGTTTGAATCTGTCAGATGTGTTCTGGTAAGTTTATAGTTACTGAAAAGAACCCAGTAGTAAAGTATTTTCCTTACAGAGTCTATGATGCCAAGGAGACACAGATAGGAATTTCGTAGCAGGTGGTTTTTTGAAAATTTGCTAATATATTTGTTTGTTTCTAAAGGATTTTGCAAACACCATTCCTGGCCATGGTGGGATAATGGACAGATTCGATTGTCAGTATTTGATGGCAACTTTTGTACACGTGTACATCACAAGTTTTATAAGGTACTTTTACATTTAAAACAAATTTTTAGATGTTTTCTTTGAGTTCTCATTTCTATTGACGTTAGTTTGAATAAGTTAACTTTTTCTGTCAGTGGTACTTTATAATATCAAAGGGAATGGCCCCTGGAGTTGTAGCCCGAGCAGTATGGTTAAATTACAATTGTTTTACATACATTTGAGCAACTTACAAAAAACAGCGGTATATGTCATGGTCCTTAACAGGAGATGGTATTGGATTTGAAACATGAGGATATTTAACTTCCCAACTGTGGGCATTGCAGGAATCGTGAATACTTAAGAGTTAAGAAGGAGGAGAACATCATCCACCCAGTCCACCAATTATTACTCAAGTGCCTGTGACATATGGTAGAATGTTCTAGGCATGAATGTAGCAGAGAACAAACCAAACTAAGTCTCTGCCTTCGGAACTTCTTGTTGGGAGGTTGGAGGGAGAAGGTCGGAAACAGACAATGAACAGTTACATACAGTTTGTTAGATGGTTGTAAGGGCCACGGAGAAAAATAAAGCAGTCTGGGCGTCATGGCTGTGTGTGCAGGGGGTGGCTGGTGGGTGGGTGGACGGGTGTTGCTATTTTATATAGGGTGGTTTATTCTTGTTATTAAACCTTAATGTTTTGGATCTACCCCACGGTGCTAGTTTGGGTTGTGAAGGCTGATCACGTCACCCACATGGGAGCTCTATTTCCCGTGGCCTCTGCTGGGGGCCTGTAGCCAGAACACTTACTAATAGCATCTGAGCCATAGAAAACATGGATTTCTTTCATAGTGTTATTTGGAGGAAACACATTTTTAGAAATCCCTAAATGCACATTTTAAATATATACTCATAGCGGTGTGAGAATTTTTGTATTAATTTTATTGGATCGGGGGACAGTCTTGCTAGGAGTTCCTCAATTTCATTAATCTTTTCGAAGAATCAGCTTGTGGCTTTGTTAATTGTCTCTACTGTATATTTGCTACTTTGATTTCCACTCTCACCTTTCATTCCTTTATCTTCTTTTTGTAGGTTTGATTTGCTGTTCCTTTTCTAGCTTCTTGAGATAAAGCTTAGGTTGTTGATGTTCTTGTCTAATATATCCACTTGTGACTATAAATTTCCTCTTCAATATCACTTTATCCTCATCCTACAAGTAATGATACTTGTATTTTCATTATTCAGTTACAAATATTTTCCTATTTCCAGTATTGTATCTGCTTTAACAAATGGGTTATTTAGAAGTATATTGATTAGTTTCCAAACAAATGGAGATTTTTCTCATTTTCCTTCCTTTGTTGAGATTTCCATGTGGGTCAGAAATCACACTCTTCATGGTTTCAGTATTTAATAGTTTTTGAGACTCAGCTTGTAGCCTCACACGCTGTCTCTTCTGGCACGTATTCCACGTGTACGTGCAGCAGACGCGCGTTCTGTGGTTGGGTACAGTGTCGCATACGTCAGTCAGGTGAAGTTTAATTAGATCTTCTGGACTAATTTTGTTTTTGTTTTTCTTGGTTTTTGTTTTTTCGGGGGTTTGCTTGTTCTATCAGTTGCAAAGAGTGCTTTGTAAATTGTAAATTCATCCATTTTTGTTTCTAGTTCTGTTAGTTTTGCTTTATGTATTTTGAGATTGTGTTAGGTATTTACAAATTGAGGCTCGTCACACCTCTTTGTCGAGTTGGCCCTTCTGTCGTTCTGTAACGTCCGTCTTTACTGCCTGCCTTAAAGCCTGCTTTGTCGGATGTTAGAATAGCTACGTCCACTTCCTTTTGGTTAGTGTTTGCATAGTATTTCTTTTTCTCTCCTTTTATTTTTAGTATTTCTTTATCCTTACAATTAATGTGTTTCTCTTTTCTCTTCTAATAAGCATATGGCTGGTTTTTTCTTTGTTTTTTTTTATAACCCCATTGACAATCTTTGTCTTTTTAATTAAAGTATTTAACCTATTTGAGTATTTATTTATTGATATATTTGGAGATTAGTAATTAGTGGTTAAATCTTTAGAACTTCATTTTCAGAAGAAGACAGCTTTTTAGGGCATTAACTCATACTCTTTCTTTTTTTAAAATTTGCTACTCTCTCAGTAGAGGGAAGTCCTGCCGAGCCACGTTGTCCCTTTTGGAAGCAAACGTTTAGACTGTTAGAAGTGCAGTGGCAATGCCAGGATGTCGCTAACTGGGAGCATCTGCTGATGCAATTTTGCATTTCGCTGAACTTGCTAAAATGGCCTTCCTTTTCTCCGTGGTCCCTGCTCTGGGCTCATGCTGTGAAGTTGCTGAGTCTTTTGAAGAAATGTAATGAGACCAGCCCTGTCCCGACTTGAGTGTTAGGGGCATGTGGCCAGTTTTCTGGCAGATGAGCCACATGCATTAAGGTGACCCAGGGGATGGTAATCTGGGCTCTTGTGCAATTTTTTAAGTCAAAGATTTGCAGAGTAAATAGCTCCTCTACTCATGCTCACTGCGCTATCACTGTATGGCAGGTATTTCTTTGTTGCTGGGATTTCTACTTCCTGTAATTCTATTTGAACGGTCTGTTGTAAATCATAAATTTCTTTAACCATGGAAACATCTTTCTCAGAATTCTGTGCCATTCCCTGTATATTACTTACATCTTGCTTTATCCTATTGGATTTTAAAGCAGATCTGCTTTGATTTTGTATATTGGGGTTTACATAAGACTTCCTTTTGTTTTCGAGACAGGATCTCGTTCTGTTGCCCAGGCTAGGGTACAGTGGTGCCGTCGTAGCTCACTGCAGCCTCAATCTCTTAGGCTCCAGCCATCCTCCTGCCTCAGCCTCCCTAGTAGCTGGGACTACAGGAGTGCCACCATACCTGGTCAGTTTTTTTATTTTTAGCAGAGATGGGGTCTTGCTATGTTGCTCAGGCTGGTCTTAAACTCCTGACCTCAAGCAATGCTCCCACCTGAACCCGCCGAAGTGCTAGGATTACAGGCGTGAGCTACCACTCCTGGCCCTAAGACTTTCTTTGAACAAAGGTTATGGCACCTGGTATATATCGCAGATAGGGACTTTGGTGCTAGGCTCAGTGTGTGTTTGTCTCTTGTGTTCTGTCTCTTGAACATTCATAGTTTCCTGGGGCTATTTCTTTAACAAAGTACCTTCCATCATCTGAAGTTTCTTTGAAGCTAAACATTTACATTATATTTTCATGCCCCTTTTGGTTTATACTTACAGAATAGTTTTTGTGTCTTGTCCAATCTCAGGACTTGTTATTTATCCCCACTTTTAACTCAGGTTGTCCGTTTGAGAATTTTCACGGAGCTTAGTTTACACGTCCTAAATTGCCTCGTACTGTCCTTGGGTTTTGTGTTTGTGCCTGCTTTCCACACCTGTGCTCCGTGCTTCTCAAAGCAGAATAATTCTGGGTTTTTATCCCCTTGACACAAACATTGGACATTAAAGTGAGCTCTTATGAAGAGCTCTTTCGATTCTGTAAAGATTGGTACTCCACACTTAAAGGAATAGTTTATTTTAAATTGGGGAGATACACTTCATTCAGCCCTGTTCAAGTAGCATGAACTTTGTCTTCTCTGCCTTACCATCAGGGGTCCAAATCCCAGCAAAGTGCTGCAGCAGTTGTTGGTGCTTCAACCAGAGCAGCAGCTAAATATATATAAAACCCTGAAGACTCATCTCATTGAGAAAGGAATCCTGCAGCCCACCCTGAAGGTATAGCTGGATCTAGAGGGGAAGCACTGGCAAGAAGGAACTCTCCAGAGCAGCACTGACAGATGCAGTTTTGATTGTACAGAAAAACGGTTGAACATGTAATAGATTGAAGTTTGTTCAGACACGAATGTTTCTCTCTGAAATTACTGTGAATATTTAACAAACACTCGGTCTCAGTTATGAAATAAGTAGCCAGTTGCCAGCAGCATATCCTGTACTTCTTCTGGAGTGTGTTTTCTGATGTGAACTTCCTTCCTCTTACTTGCTGGGTCTCATAGTTTAAAAGACTTGTATTTTAAAGAGTCAAGCACTATCAAATGAGTAAGTCGAGGATGTCTTAAAATCGCACCTGGCAGCGTGCCCGTTTGCACAAATATTTACGTTCGCACTTGGAGCTGCTCCTAATCGTAGCAAAATGTTTTATGCAAGGCACAACAGGAAGTCACTTCTGCGCTTCCTCCTCACATAGTCTGAAGTATTTTCTAAAGGGCTTAGTTGGATCAAAAAAATAAAAAAAGATTGTCCACTTTTCAAAGCAGTAATCATTTGCCAGGGGAAAACACTCTTTTTTAGGTAGGTTCAGAGTCCAGGAGATACTGTCCTCAAGGTATAGGGGAAAAGAAAAAAAAATTCAGGAGAGGGAGGCTGAAGTTTCTGCCATTTATTGGTTAGAGCAGGCATCAAACCCTACTTCTGATAAAATTGTTTGGAAAAACACAACCTTGCAAAAACTCATCCAGAGAAACAAAGAATTCTGCTACGAATAACACCATGAACAGGTCCTGCACAGATCTCCGCAGAGGACGGGAGCTCAGGAGGCAGCCTCAGACAAGGACACGTGGCATGGGTCTCCTCTCCCTGCCTCCCCGAGAACCAGCTTCCATGAGTTCTGCAGCCACGAGAACACACAGGCCGCCGCGCAGGGTCGCGAGTGGAGGGGCGGCTGAAGCAGGGCAGGGGGTGCCGGGTGGGGTAAGAGTGTCCCGCCCCCGCGTCCCGGCTGCCTCACTCCAGCGCAGCCCACTGGAGACTCACTGGCAAGAAGGAAGATCTGCCTGGAGACCCAGTCCCAGCGCAGCCTCCTGGTCACAGCTAGCCTCTGTCCTGTTGCTTGTTTGCATCATGCCATACAATCCGAGGACATCAGCTGGTGATTTTTTCTTCTAAGAATGGAAATCAAGCAGAAGTGATTCCTGCCAAGAACAAAAAGCACACGAATGCCATACCTTTCCTTTCCTTTGGTGACTGGACACTGTAACCAGGTGAGAGTAAAGTTCTCATCCGTGGACGTGAGCGAGCAGTTGCCGTGTGCCCCCCGCGGCCGCAGTGACTGCTGAGCAGCCGGCACCGAACCTTGAGAATCCGCCCAGTGCTTCTGGTGAAACGTTCAGACGGGAGAAGTAGATATATTTTAAAGAATGTTTTGCCAATGAAAAGAGTAAATATTTTTGTTTAAATCAGCAACAAATTTCTATTATTTTATATTTCCGTCCGGCCACTACACCTAAAACAAAAGATTGCAAGCGTGCCGGGTTCCACTCCCGCAGCCTCGCCGCGCGTCCTCTGCGACTACGGCGGACGCAGGTGCGCTCGATACCGACGCCCCGCTTCGCGGTCTGGCCTGCGCTCGCCTGGTTCCTCGCCGCCGGGTGTGCTCAGCGTGTTTCACACTATCCCTGAAAATCTAGAACTGGCACTGGAAATGCCATAGGAGGGAATGATCGCTTTTAAAAGCAGGCCACCTACGAGTCAATTTTCAACATATCTCATTTTTTCCTTGCCTCATGAGCAGCTTCAGATGTTGATCATAGAGGAATTTAGGACACCAAAGTTTAAAAAATGAGAATTTTGTGATAGGAACTTACGTTAAAAATTTAGTAGTCTGCACAAGTAAGAACTCCTTGGAGATTCACAGATCCCTCTACATTTTTATTTAAAGTAATTGGTTAGGCATTGAGGCACAGAATTACAAGAGAGCACTACTGAATACATGTATTATAAAATCAATATTATAAACAAAATAGGTTAGAAATATTTGGTGTCACAAATACCTTTTCTCAAATATACTTTCTAAAAGTGGGTGTACATTATATGTAAAAAAGTAAATTCTTAATTTTAACAGAGCTCTAAAGATCTTTTTAGTGTACTTTTATAGCATGTATATTAAAATAGAATATATTTTAGCAAAAGGTTGCCATAAAACCCTGACTTTGATCACTTTTATATTTGCACTGTGAGGAGGGCTTAAATTCCAATTAGCAGCGTGGTGGTGGAGAAATGAAAAACCAGGAACCTCTTTCACAGCACTGACTAATGTTGCAACTCTGCTGGTTCTGGAGGTACTCTCGTGGTACCGATTGCTTGACTTTTTAACACGCCGGATGCGAATGGTTCCTCGGCGCTTTTCCCTTGTGATGGTGCACATGCTTTTGCTACCTGAGAGTAGAAAGACCACATACACCTCTCTTTTCATTTGTAGTGTGTCTCGGTTTGCACTTTGGTCAGAACAGAGATGGAGTCTCCGTGTTCAAAAAAGAAAAGCAGGAACAGTCTATATATACTGTATATGGGTGATAGTTTATGATATGTGTCAATCAGTTCTCTGAATGTTTTACTGAAACTGAGATAGGAAAATAAAACTGAAACACATCATATTTTGACTTTGTGCCATTTTATCATTGGAGAAGAAACATTCATGCATTCGGGCAACTGGTGTTTACAAAGTAACGACAGACGCACGTAAGTATCCTGTCGTGTATCTTCCACCACCGACGCCTACCGTGACATCTTCAGGGATGGAGACAGGTAAGTTCTGGTGGCGACTGAGCATCCATGTGTGCCGAGAGGTGCTGTCCTGTGAAGGTAAGAGTACTGAACTTCTGGGATGTTAGCGCAGTTTGTGATTGCACGTTTATTTTTGTCAATCTCCGAATCACGTCCGGCGCTCGCCAGAGCCGGGAGGTAGGTGGAGGCTGGGGGACGTCTGTTCCGGTTGCGCGATGCCTGCGTGCTGCGGCCCCTTGGGCTTCTGAACAAACGCACGGGCTTGGGGTCTGAAGACCCAGCTGCGCACCGTCCACCTGCCTTGGACAGCCCCTACTCCCTGGCCGGGAGTTTTCAGCTTTTTTTCTGCGTAGCTCTCGGGCGGCCCTCGCTACTCCTGGCAAGTAGGGTGGTTGCAAGTATTCGGTGCGCACTCAGGTGCAAGTGCCCCGATTTGTCCAGCGTCGCATATCGGATTAGTAATCCTCATTCCTTCCTCCTCCCTGTCGCCTGTGTGCAGTGGGAAGTGACAGGTGGTCGGTAGGACTGAGCAGAAAGGTAACCGTCCCTTTGGCCATGTCTGCTTCAGGTGGCGGTAACCTAAGTGTGCCTTGAATGGCAGCCAGCCCGTTCATCCACTTCAGCAAACCTGGAACGTCTGCCTTACACTCAGCACTGTGCTTTGTTCTGGCACCAAGAAAAACGTTAGAACTGGTGGTTTTCTGCCCCGTGACAGGACTGACAGATACAGAGGTAAACACCGTACGAGGTGGATGTTGATCAGGGTGATGACAGACACGCAAACCAGGTGCGTGGGAAAGCGGGAGACGAGACCACCCTCCGACCTGCTCTCGGGACCTGTCCGTCCTGAGCATGGTCCGCAGCCGCATCTGTCCACCCCGCCTGCAGCTTACAAGGCTAAAATTCACTCACCGAGGGGCTGTATTTGGGAATCTGTGTGTAGTAGCTGCAGATAAAGTGCAGGTCTAGACAATTTAACCAAAAATCAGAAGCTTGTCCCACCTTCATCCTGTCGTCTTCCTGTACAGAAATGGAGAACCTTCTTAAATCATTAGGTAAACCCTGAGAGTCATTCAGTGAAAGATGAGTGGAACATTTCCTGACGATGGCAGAGTGAGTTTGCAGACAGTGGAGTGAATCCAGTCTGGTTCTCTAAGGTGTACGAAGGCCATGGGCTGGAATAGCAAGGGCCTTGTCGCCCAGAGGGAGAAAATCACTGAGGCACAGTGCACTGTAAGGATCGTGTTGTCTTGAGAGTGAAAGCTCAAGCTGCTCTCTGTCAACTTGTACCGTCAGCGGGGTCTGGGGTTCGGGGCTCACACGCTCAGAGCCTCCTTTCTGCTCTGCCTTCAACTCGAGTTGAAGGGATCCAAGAATGTGTGATTTCAAACTTCAGGTGGGGCCTAAGAAAGTGCTAAGTTTGGGGAACATTCTTGAATAATTTATTATATTTTTTCAGCCTTAGTAAGTTTCAAAAACTTGTGAAGAAAAGGAAACAGAGGCTTCAGCTAGTCCAGGTAAGACAGACACACTTGGATTGTCAGAAATTCTATTTGTTTTCTCTTTTTTTTCCGAACAGCTTTATTGAGATATAATTTACACACCGTAACATTGTATAACCATCACCAAATCCAGCGTGAGAACATTTCTGTGTTCTACCAGAAGGGTACCCGGCACCCACTGGCAGTTAATCCCCACTCCAACCCCCGGCCTTGGGCAGCCACTGAGCTGCTGTCTATGAATTTGCCTTTTCTGCATAGAAATGGAATCATACAATGTATAGTGTTTTGCATCTGGCATAATGTTTTTGCACGTATCAGTGCTTCCTCTCCCTTTTTTTTTTTTTATTAATACCGTATTTTCCTAACCCGTATACCAGTTGATGGACATTTGGGTTATTTCCAGTTTTTTTTGGCTCTTACGAAAAAGGTTGCTGTGAATATGTGTAGACACACACGTCTCTGTGAGGCCATGTCTTCATTTCTCTTGGGTAGATGGCTGGGGGTGGACTGCTGGGTTGTGTGTTTATGTTTAACTTTTAAAGAAATAACCAAAGTGTTTTCTAAAGCGGCTACACAGTCTTGCATTCTTGCTTGCAATGTGGAAAGGTCCTAGTTTTTCTTCATCCTCACCCAAACCTGATACCGTCCTTTAAATTACAGACATTCTGGCTGGCGTGGAGAGGTATCATTGTGGTTTTAATTTGCATTTCCCTAACGGTTGATGGTGTTGAGCATTTTCGTGTGTGCCTGTTTGCCATTTGTAAATCTTCTTTGATGAAATCTCTATTTATATCTTTTTCTAGAGACAGGGTCTCACTGTATTGCCCGAGCTGGAGTGCAGTGACAGTTCACAGACAGGATCACAGCTCACTGCAGCCTTGAACTCTGGGGCTCAAGTGATCCTCCTGCCTCAGCTTCCTGAGTAACTGGAACTACAGGCGCGTGTCACCGTGCCTGGCTTCTATTCATATCTTTTGCCTGTTTTTAAATGGCATTTTTTTTTCTTCTTACTGAGTTGTAAGAGATCTTTATATTTTCTGGATACAAGTCCCTTATCAGATAGGTGATTTGCAAATATTTTCTCTTGGACTTTGGCTTGTCTTGTTTTGTTATTTTCTTAATGGTATCTTTTGAAGTTTAAAACCTTTTAATTTTGACGATGTCCAGTTAATCAGTTGTGACTACTGAGGCTCCTGCAGGCAGCCTCAGGGTGGG